ATTTTTCTTGTTTTGTATGCATTTAAGAAACTTTTTTTTCGACCATAATTGTAGAGGGCGTTGAGTGCTACAATTTATGTCATTGTTGCAATCTCGTACAACAAAAATGCGCATTGTAGGTGGCGCTAAAGTCTAAAAAAAGTGTTTTTTCACTTTTTCACCCTGAAAATATCATTTTAATGGAAAACTTTAAATGGCAACGTTGTTTCGTACATAATTACCAACAACTTTTGTATAAACAATTTTTTTGTATTACTTACCGTTTTCAAGTTATAAATTGCGCAGGTATGAAAAATCCAATAGAGCGGTATTGGGCAGTTCACGTACACATTTGCAGTGCACATTTCTATGTACGTTTTACTATTTTAAGTAAAAACTTACATTGAAATGTGCACTGCAAATGTGTACTTGAACTGCCCAAAACCGCTCTATTGGATTTTTCATACCTGCACAATTTATAACTTGAAAACGGTAAGTAATACAAAAAAATTGTTTATACAAAAGTTGTTGGTAATTATGTACGAAACAACTTTGCCATTTAAAGTTTTCCATTAAAATGATATTTTCAGGGTGAAAAAGTGAAAAAACACTTTTTTGAGACTTTAGCGCCACCTACAATGCGCATTTTTTGTTGTACGAGATTGCAACAATGACATAAATTGTAGTAGTACTCAACGCCCTCTACAATTATGGTCAAAAAAAAAGTTTCTAAAATGCATACAAAACAAGAAAAATGCGTTTCAAAAAATTTTTGACGATTTTTTTGAGTTTTTCAAAAAACGCCTACGAGTTGAACATGCCCATCGCCAAGGTGGCTTACCGACGTCATTTGGCAACAGAAAAAACAAGACTTACCCTTTAGGTTTTTTTTTCACTACCCAACCTACAGATTGACTGTACTATATCTTGTAATTTGACATTATTTCTGATTTAACATTTTTGTATACATCCCGCCTGATGATATTATTTTTTTCAAAGTGTGAGTAGGCATCTCATTCATTAAATTATAATTTCAATTTAGATTAATATAAGTACTTGATTGTGCCGTGTAGTGCCGGCCTAGAATAGAATAGCACTACCCCCTCTCATCCCGTGGGTGTCGTAAGAGGCGACTAAGGGAAACTTCACTTCACCTAAGGAGATGGGCAGCAGCATCTCCTTATGCGAACCGGTATACTGCGATCGCTAACCCGCCTGCCAAGCGTGGTGATTATGGCAAACCCCCCCCCCCCCCCCCCCCATATGCGAAACAATACGAAACGGCCCCTAGTCCCCGGCGGCCCCGCTATTCCTGGCTACGGTAGCGGCCACGGTAACGGCGGGGTAGGGGATGCGAAGAATCCCCGGGTAGGACACGGCTACCACAACAACCGAATACTGGCCCTGGCAACCTACAACACGCGCACATTGAGGACCGATGCCAAGATGACAGAGCTGGAAGAAGCTATCAGCAAGTTACACTGGGACGTCATCAGGTTATCTGAATTCCGAAGAGAGGGAGAGGACACGATAACTCTGGACTCCGGTAACTTGCTGTACTTCCGGGAGAGCGACCAATAGTCCGTAGGTGGTGTCGGGTTTATCGTCCACAAGTCCCTCGTCAACAACGTGCTGAACATCGGTAGTGTTTCGAGTAGAGTAGCGTACTTGGTACTCAGAATATCATCACGATATTCGATGACTGTCATCCAAGTCTACGCTCCAACCTCGAAACACGCCGATGACGAAGTGGAGGCAATGTATGAGGAGATCTCTCGGGCCATGCATAGCCACAAAACCCACTACACGATTGTGATGGGGGATTTCAATGCAAAGTTGGGGAAACGTTGCGGCGACGAGCTGAGAGTGGGGCAATTTGGAGTTGGGGAACGGAACGACAGGGGCCGAATGCTGGCGGACTTTATGGAGAGGGAGAACCTCTATATGATGAACTCCTTCTTCAGAAAGCCCGTCACCCGCAGATGGACCTGGATAAGTCCCGACGGCAAGGTCAAAAATGAGATTGATTTAATCATGTCGACGAAGAAGCAAATATTCAATGATGTCTCAGTGATCAACGCTGTTAAGACAGGAAGCGATCACCGCTTGGTAAGAGGCACATTGAATATCAACGTTAAGCTTGAAAGATCGCGACTGATAAAATCAACGCTCCGACCGGTGCCAGCCCAAATTCAAAACCCCGAGCGCTTTCAGCTCCAGAACCGCTTCGAGTACCTTGAGAACAGCATAGACGTGGACGATCTGAACGACCTGGTGGTGGATACTGTCCGTACGGTAGGGTCTAAACACTTTAAAACCCGCCGTACCAAGTTAAAGAAACTCTCCGCATACACACTCGAACTCATGGATAGGAGACATGAAATGAGACTACAGGACTCAGCGGATGCATTTCGTTATAGACAGCTTAATAGACAGATCTCGAAGTCGTTGACGAGCGACCTTCGCCACTTTAATACAGAGCGTATTAAAGAGGCCATAGAGCGGAACAAAGGCTCCAAAGTGTTCGCTAGAGATCTGTCTATTGGGCAAAATCAACTGACGAGGCTGAAAACTGAGGACGGTAGTATCATTTCATCGACTCCTGAAATCCTGAGGGAGATTGAGAGTTTCTATAGGCAGTTATATTCCAGCAGAACACCAGGCGAAAGCAGAGCTCGAGATCCTAGAGCCAAGCTTACCCGACATTATACCGAGGATATCCCGGACGTCAGCCTGTACGAGATTAGAATTGCCCTCAAACAGCTTAAAAACAACAAGGCGGCGGGAGATGACGGAATCACAACAGAGCTTCTGAGAGCGGGCGGTACGCCGGTACTTGAAGTCCTCCAGAAGCTCTTCAACTCCGTCATCCACCAGGGCAAAACGCCGAAGGCATGGAGCAGAAGCGAGGTGATTTTGTTCTTCAAAAAGGGTGATAAGACCCTACTGAAGAACTACAGACCCATCTCGCTTCTGAGCCATATCTACAAGCTGTTTTCGAGGGTCATTACGAATCGTCTCGCTCGCAGGCTCGACGACTTCCAGCCTCCCGAACAAGCCGGTTTCCAAAAAGGCTTTAGGACCATAGACCACATCCATACGCTGCGGCAGATTATACAGAAGACCGAAGAGTATAATCGGCCACTTTGCTTAGCGTTTGTGGACTATGAGAAGGCCTTCGATTCGATCGAGACCTGGGCGGTGCTGCAGTCTCTCCAGAGGTGCCAAGTGGACTACAGGTATATCGAAGTGTTAAAGTACCTATACCAAAACGCCACTATGTCGGTCCGAGTACAGAATCAGAGCTCTAATCCTATCCAACTACAGCGAGGGGTGAGACAGGGAGACGTTATATCTCCGAAACTGTTCACTGCTGCGATGGAGGATATTTTTAAGCTTCTGGACTGGAAAGGACTCGGTATTAACATCAACGGCGAGTACCTGACACACCTTCGATTTGCCGATGACGTAGTCCTAATGGCGGAGACCTTGGAAGACCTGAACACCATGCTCGAGCATCTCAGTGACGCATCCCAGCGAGTGGGTCTTAAGATGAACATGGACAAGACTAAAATCATGTCCAACGTCCATGTTGCACCCGCTCCAGTTAATGTTGGGAACGTTACACTTGAAGTTGTTGACCACTACGTTTACCTAGGACACACAATCCAGTTAGGTAAGTCCAACTTCGAGAAACAGATCTCTCGTCGAATCCAACTCGGATGGGCAGCGTTCGGGAAGCTGCGGAACATCTTCGCGTCCAAAATACCTCAATGCCTTAAGACGAAAGTCTTTAACCAGTGTGTGTTGCCAGTGATGACCTATGGCAGTGAGGCGTGGTCGTTTACTATGGGTCTCATAGGACGGTTCAAGGTCGCCCAGCGGGCAATGGAGAGAGCTATGCTTGGTGTTTCCCTGCGTGATCGAGTCAGAAATGACGAGATCCGTAGGAGAACTAAAGTCACCGACATAGCTCGAAGAATAGCCCAGCTGAAGTGGCAGTGGGCGGGACACATAGCGAGAAGAACCGATGGCCGTTGGGGCGGAAAGGTTCTCGAATGGCGACCGCGCGCCGGACGACGCTCAGTGGGAAGACCCGCTACAAGGTGGACCGACGATCTGGTGAAGGTCGCGGGAAAACGCTGGATGCGGGCAGCGCAGGACCGATCGTTGTGGAGATCCTTGGGGGAGGCCTATGTCCAGCAGTGGGCGTCATACGGCTGATATGATGAAGTACTTGATTGTCATTGCTGGAATAATATAATTAATAGTTAACTAGAAACTAACGTGAAAATAACATTGAACGTCACCAAAACAGATTATGGCTGAACTAAATATAATTTGTATGTACACAACAATAACCTGTATTCGCAATAAAAATTATTTGAATTTGAGTAATTCTACTAGCACTCTGTTTCATTTAATTGTTGCCCTGTGATAGCCAAGTCATTGTATATAATGTATTGTTTCTGATGAGATCACAATGATTTTTGTAGATAGTCTGTAGATTAAAGGTAACATCATACATCCCCTTTACCTATCCATTTAGGTAGTTTAAATTACCAAAATGTATGATCTGCAAAAGTAACTTTGTAACAACATAAAATATATGTATAAGATAAATACACAATGTAGAATTCCAAAGTTACAAGGTACATACAGGTCGCGAACAAAACGTGGAGGGAATAGCTGCGCATGAGTACGACTAGAGAGCCAATCGGCGCAAGGCACGCCCACCCGCGCACCTCGTTTCCCCCTAAGACATCTTTGTTTCTATTTCTGCGCAATAACGGTCAGCGCTATAGTTTCATGCCGTGATTTATAAGGTATACTGTTGTGGTAGGTTTTAGTAATTTGGAATTTCGTAACTATGAAGTTAAAAGGTAAAATGTTTCGAATGACTTCGAGAAAAGGATCGTATGCAGCAGTGTCTTAGTGGATTTGCTCAGTTTGGCGGTCTTTAGCACCTGTCTTTATATCTAACAATAAAGGAATAATGCATTTGTATTGTTTTCCTGCAGGCGGTTATCGAGCATGGCACCAAACTGTCTTCAGAGGTGACCAGCTCCTACCTGCACATGTGCGACGAGGGCGCGCGCTCCCACGACGCCCTTATAGAACTAGGCCTACGGATCGGTGAGTTGGCCATATTTCGTTTATTAGACAACAAACATGGGAAACTATTCCCTTCTATTAATACTCCTTCTTCTAATAGTGGATAAAATCAATAAATAAATAAATATTTCTAACACTCACACCAATTAGCCTAGCCCCAAAGTAAGCACTATAAGCCTTGTGTTATGGGATATAGGGTAACGGATAGAATACATACACTGTATATATATAAGTATATTTATATAGAAAATACACATTAAACGTCCATGACTGGAGTACAAATGCTCGTATTCATCACACAAACATCTGCCCCCACCGCGATTTGAACCCAGGACCTCTCGAGTCGGCGACACCATGAAACCCGGCATACAAACCACTCGGCCACGGAGGTCGTCCAGGAGGATGTGATAGAGATATTTTTTTTTATACAAGGTGGCACAATTGACCTCACCCCGCGTAATGTTAAGTGAGAACGTAGTCCAGATGCTGATGCAGCAGAAAAACGTGACGCTCAGATTGCCGACTTGAACCCAATTCCCTTTCCCGATGGAGTTCTTGCAACTGAGGCCGTGCTGAAAGTATGAAAAATCATAGAAACGCACAAACTGCGGCTAAAACAAGTCGATATAATTTTCATACATAAATTCTTTCGCGAGTTCTCAACGATTGCCAGAGCATAACATCGCAGAATATTGTTTTTTATATGCAGTCTTCGTTCTGTAACTTTAAACTTTTGAAATACCTTACCTGACAACACTTAGAAATAAATAAATAATCTTTTTTTTGTTAAAGAGATTTTGTCCTTTTGAATGACATGACAGCTTTATCGATACAATAAAAATTCTTCATCACCATCATCGTCTCAGCCATACAATACCCACTGTTGATCATTAGCCTGCCCCAATGCTGAACCTTTCCAATTAAGAATCAAGTATCATCATCCTTATCGTCATCAGCCTATTAATGTCCCCACTGCTGGGGCACAGGCCTTCCCTATGGATGGAATAGGGAGATTGGGCCATGACCTACCACGCGGGCTCAGTGCGGATTGGCGGGTGCTAACGACTGCGGATGCAGCCGGGACCAACGGCTTAACGTGCCTTCCGAAGCACGGAGGAACTGCGAAAGTTGTTTAACTTCAACGACGGCAGCCAAACGCGCTAACCACCTGCGCCATCGAGCTCCTCCTAGTATCAAGTATACTTTTAACTTAATCCGTTAAAATGATCTTCATGTTTCTCAGGTGACTTCCTAAACGAAGCAGGATGGTACGCAGACGCACAGAAGGTGCTGCTGCGATGTCGGGACATCTGCCAAGCGCAGCCGCAGACCACATACTATAAGCGACTAACTCTAGAATGCTGTCATAGGTGAGTATAATGCGATTCAATTAAGAATAGGACCGATTGGGCGCCATATTTTGACGTCATAGCTGTCAATTCAAACCAAATAGGTAGAGTGAGCAAAAAAAAGTTTCTATTTAATAAAACTTATTTACTTAGATTAAGTGAGAAAATACATCAGATTATTTTAATAAAATTAATTTACTAAGATTGAGAGAAAAAACAACCGATTTTTAATAATATTTCTTTATTAAGACTGTGTGAGAAAAAACATGAATCAGAATCTAGCTCTTGAATTCCGCTCATCTCTGCATTACCGCCGGAGTAGTTATGAATAATCATGCAGGTCACATACGAACATGCATCCTTTATGTAAACGAAAGTTTTAAATCGAGTTTCTGAAGCCAACATAAAGTGACATTTGGTTGACGATTTAGGTTATCAACCATTCATAGCTAAAGCTCAGTAAATGAAAAAAAATATTAACTAATATTAATTATCAATATTTGTTGTAAAATGTTTGATTTTTATTCTAGAATTAGCTGAGTGTTAAAAAAGTGTTTCGAGATTTTTTGCAAACTGTACTCTTCTAGCGCCATATGACAGATGGAGGTCATTGGTTTTCCTATTCTTCTTCAATCGCACTATATCGTTCACTACAAGGACGAGTTGTAGATTAAATGTTAAACTAACTTATGACGAATGTGCAATGACTCGACAAACCTGTCCGGGTTTTAGTCATAAATTTAAAGACGATTGTTTAAATTAATACAAATAATTAAAAGTCACTAGCTTTAGGCGAAGATTGCGTGTAGTTCTTCCCGAAAGGTTATAGTTCTAGCACAAGTCGATGATGCCTATTAGCTTATTTATCTGTTCTAATAATTATTCATAAAGTAATTATTCATATGCGCCTAGCTTAATATGACGACCTTAATTTGACGACCTCCGTGGCCAAGTGGTTTGTACGCCGGGTTTCATGGTGTCGCCGACTCGAGAGGTCCTAGGTTCGAATCCCAGTGGGGGCAGATGTTTGTGTGATGAATACGAGCATTTGTACTCCAGTCATGGATGTTTAACATGTATTTCTATATAAATATACTTATATATGAACAATATATGTATTCTATCCGTTACCCTAGAATCCCATAACACAAGCCTTATAGTGCTTACTTTGGGGCTAGGCTAATTGGTGTTTTAAAAAAAAAAAAATAAATAAATAGGCTGTTCAGTTTTATGCTGTCAGTTTTTTGAAAATAAAAATAACGGACATGTGCTGTTCACATGGCATAGAAGTGAAACCTGTGCAATATAGGTAGTTCGCTTTTCTGTGTCCTCGCCTCGGGTGTGGAGGAGGACAAATTCTCCCAAACCGTACCTAATTTTGTAACACGAAAAAAAAAGTATTAAAAATAGGTACCTACCTCAAATTATGTTTGGTATAGCTAAATTAAACCACGCTTCTCACCAAAATTACTATATTTATTGTATGAGATAATAATAATTAAGATACACACGTTTTGTATGCTAATATAAAGTTAATCTAATTTAAATGAATATTAATGTGGGAGAACACTTGACGCGGTTTACAGACACAGCCGGAAGAGAGCGAAAAAGGTGATGCAAAAATGAGACATAGGATTTAGTCTGTCAAATACTAAACAACCTACCTTGAGTCAAATACTCTACTTTCATTTCATCGAACCTCAATTCACAACGATACTAAAGAAGTTTTCACTTCAAATGGTATTCGTACATACAAACCTTCAATTCGTAAATGTACAGTAGAAGACCTTGTATGGAGAGCAACAACGCAACAACGCAAGGATTCTTAACCATTTCTGTTTCTTTTCTTCTTGTTTTATTTCGTGTAGAGTTTCAATAACATCAAGTCAACTATTTATAACAAAATTAAAACCAAAATTCAATTTAACTTGCATCTATGCCCACTTGCAGCAATTTAGGTAAATCTCAATTTAACTAAATCTAGTTATAACCCATAGAAAAATATCAAATTAACATTGACGCTTTCACATTTTTCTATAGGTTAAAGCTACTTTTAGTTGAATCGAGATTTAGAAAATTTACTGCAAGTGGCCCTTAAACCACATTTTAAACCAATTAAATCACATTCCCACGCTGCCTCAGGCAGTGGGAACACGATCATTTTATATGACATAATTGCGTGATATAACAGATGCCAAGAAAGTTGTTTTAAAGCGTTACAAGAGGCTTGGGTATGTTGTCCTTGTTATTCTAGGCAAGGCAAACACATAGGTAGAAGGCGCAAGTAAAGATTCAGTGTTGCTAAATAGGAGAATAAAAGGAATAGAACAGGTTTTATTTTATGCATAATAACAATAATAAAATAAATTTATTGCTTAACAAAAGTAGGTAAATGAAAGATTGAATACCCTGATTTCTATGCTAGGATAATAACCTTGTGTTACAGAAATCAGTGGGTGTATTCCGAAATATATATCAGTATACTGGCCAGTGGTAATGACGTCACGAATCCGACGCCATATTGTACTGGTATGCTACCATATTTTTACCGGGAAAACGGATATGACGTATGACCGAGCGAATCGACGTATGTGCGCGAGATGCATTCGAATTTTATTTCTTTTTTATATAAAGCACATTAATGGCTTCCGAACAAAAAGAATTCCTTTTAATTGATGAGTTGAATAAGAAATCTTCTTTATTCGCACAATTTTTAATATTTCGTCGTTTTATGACGTCAGTGCACTGGCCAATATATTTCGGAACAATTCACCAGTATAGCGTCGAGTCATGACGTCATTAGCACTGGCCAGTATACTGGTATATATAACGGAATGCACAGTGTCTTCTCTCAAAGACATTTTAAAAAAACTACTTAGTTTACAATTAAACGATCGTGTCCTAAATGTGTGTGTGTGTTTTACTACTACATTATTACTGGGTATTACGTTAAAATAATCTATAAGTATTAAGTAGCTATTGTGTGCTACTGTTCTTACTGCACTAAAATTATTTTTCTCTGAACGATTATTTAACTGCGTCCAATCTTATTTACACTTGGTTTGTTGATATAATTAAAACGATATGCGTCATATAAAAATAAACATATTTTTTCACTGATTATCTCTGCAATAGCAATAAAAGTGATGATTTCAATTAAAATTAATATGTCCAACACTCACACCAATTAGCCTAGCCCCAAAGTAAGCACTGTAAGGCTTGTGTTATGGCATGCTAGGGTAATGGATGGAATACATATACTGTACATATATTAGTATATTTTTATAGAAATACATATTAAACATCCATGACTGGGGTATAAATGGTCGTACTCATCACAAAAACATCTGCCCCCACCGGGATTCGAACCTGGGAACTCTCAAGTCGGCGACACCATGAAAACCGGCGTACAAACCACTCGGCCACGGAGGTCGTAAAATAATAATATATTTATTGCAGAAAACTATCACATCACAATAAAAATATATGCATTATATACGTGTAATACTAGTTTTTCTATAGGATTTTGATATCTATTAGGTAGCAGTTCCTTTTATGCTGTTCCTTATGAAATATACAAATAGTGCATAGTCTGTCGTTGCGTAAAGGCGAAGGAACAAAAAAAAATATATTTTTATGCCAATATTTTCCTTTTAGTTTTGAAGATATAATATGTAGTATGTTTTCGATGTCAATGGAACCGGTCAAGTTTAAACTTGAATGCGACAAAGCTTTCATTTGCATATTTTTTTACAATATTAATAACTTTACGTCATATATTGCGTCTTACCAATCTTTTATTGATATCTTTTTTGACGCCACGGATACTGCATAAACTTTTACAGCCCTCGCATGCGTTTAGGCTGATAATTCACATGGTATTTTTTATTTGCTGTTCATAAGCTTTAACATTAATATATCTCTATCATGCCCTAACACGAATGAAAATGAATTCTGCGGACAAATTTACAAATCAACCATACGACGCGCGACGCCTTCTGCTGAGCATAGGATTTCCCCAAAGGTCTTCGAATTGAGCTATCCGTATTGAGTGCCTTCTCGCGACCTTCAGTAGATCGTTGGTACACTTGATGGGGAGCTTGCCCACTATGCGTCGTTCGGTGCGTGGTCGCCACTCGAGTACCTTTCCATCTCAACGGCCATCGGAACTCCTTGCTAAGTGTCCTGCCATAGACTTTACTGCTTATCTATCGGGTTCCTGTCTGAAACCTGGAACGAGTGGAAGAATATATAATAGGGATGATGACGGGGTACAGTAAACGAAATTCTATTCAGTCCGTCAGTTAGATGATCAAAAAATAATGGACACGTATTTTTTCTTTGGGCAATCAACCAAAAAATGACAAAGTTATAGCGCGTCAAAGTTTGGGAGTAGGGGCTCGTGACGTCACTTTTGAGTGAATTTTCACATATAAGTGTACTCAAACGTGACGTCATGCGACTTTTCAAATCAATATATCTCTGCAACGTTTATATTATGTGAAAAAAGAAAAAATACGTGTCCAATACTTTTTTATAATCTACATGATAAACGAAGAAAAAAAAATTAGTCATCATCCCTATTCTAGAGCAGTTAAATGCTTAGAAATATAATAACCTATCTATTAAGTTTTCTCACATTTACATTGTAGAAGGTTCTTGAGGTAAACAAATGAATAAAGAAAATTAATGTGAAAACGATATCTGCAGGTTACTGAACACACAGTCGGCGTACTGCTGCTTCCCCGCGGCGGCAGAGACGTACTCGCTGGCGCTGCGTTTACTCGGGCTACCTGAGGACGTGCGAGACGAGCACCTGCGCGGGCCCTACGCCACCGCCCCCTCGCGGGACCAGGCCACGCAGACTGACCCCGTCGACCCGGAGGCCGCACGGTAATAATGTGCCTCATGTCATACTGTGCTAGGGCCGGGGCAGGATGAGCACCTGCGCGGGCCCTACGCCACCGCCCCCTCGCGGGACCAGGCCACGCAGACCGACCCCGTCGACCCGGAGGCCGCACGGTAACACAATGTGCCTCATATCATACTGTGCTAGGCGCCGAGGCAGGACTGGCACCTGCGCGGGCCTTACGCCACCGCCGCCTTGCGCGACCAGGCCTCGCAGACCGACCCCGTCGACCCGGAGGCCGCACGGTAACACAATGTGCCTCATGTCATACTGTGCTAGGGCTAGGGCAGGACGAGCACCTGCGCGGGCTCTACGCTAGCGCCCCCTCGCGGGACCAGGCCTTGCAGACCGACCTCGTCGACCTGGAGGCCGCGCGGTAACACAATGTGCCTCATGTCATACTATGCTAGGGCCGCGGGAGGACGAGAGCGACGAGCAATCTACGAGAATATTTGTCTACTAGTGGATGCCCTTCTTATCATCCTTTTAAGAGCCTGCGCTGCGTTCCTAAGCCTGCGCCTGGGATCACAGAACAGGTGTCCGCTCCGAGTTCAGTTTTTCTGTCGTTTCAAAGAACAGCGTTGTGCGGGAAACCCGCCTTACGTAGCGCTGCTCTATGTATTTCATAGATAAGAACAAGAAACAAATACCCGGAGCGGACGCCCGCTCAATGCTCCCGCTTAACGTAACGCAAGCTCTAAAGGGTGATTTCTAGGATATAAAAAATCTGTCCCTATGTCCTTCCACGAGACTCAAACTATTTCTGATACCAAATTTCATCTAAATGGGTTTAGCGGTTTAACCGTGAAGAGAGCACATACAGTAAGGCAGACAAACACACTTTTGTATTTATAATATTAGTATGGATTTATGAGAGTTGCATTATAGCTCCAATGTGAAAAGATAAGTATTTGATATAGTTAAATTAGTAAAAACATGGGTATTTGCTAGCTTGCTTTAACGAATACCTGGACGATAAGTTATAATTGGATCCAAAAATTAGTTTCTTGTCACACCAATAAAATTTTTTTTTACAATTTCATCCGTGCACATATTTCATCAATTCATTTTTTTTAATATCACGTACCTGCATATTTTTCTTTGTAAAAATGCGATACCATGAGATTATATTGCACTCCATCATGATTCATACGTTACACGCAACTATGACGTTGACCTCATAAAACTGACCTTTCCCAAGCTATTACCACATTATGGCGGCTGAACACGAGTCCGTATGCACCAATAACCCGACCCGTAGTTTACCCGCGCGTGTAATTATACAATGCAATGCATTTAGGGCTGCCAGGTGCAGGCTTATAAATTCCTGAGGGCCTACCTCCTATCGGGATTAACCTTCGGCGGTCGGAAATAATAAAATGAAATCGTAAGCGATAGCCATGGCAATTCTGATAGGCGGTAGGCCTTCTGGACATTTGCCCCTCATCCCTAACCCCTAGAAAAGGATAATTTTTATTTTTTAAGCATGTAACTGCTTGATGTTTAAATCTTAAGAAAGCGCTGCCTTGCAGCTTAAGAATGGCTAGAAGAGTTCCGACGTGGCCATCAGGGCCGTGGTAGCATAATTGGTCAGTGCATTCGGCCGAATAGCGAAGGATGCGGGTTCGAGTCACGTCTGCTGCCTGGTCCGCGTGGATTTTTTTCTAGTTATATTTATATAGAAAGGAAATGAAAATGTAGGTCAGTAACGAATGACTTTATAATAGCTTCTGCCGTCTCTCGCAGCCCCAATACGTTCCTAAATTAAGGTGTATTTATAGTAATATTGTAAAAAAAACTGCTAGTAAATTATTCGGGACATTTTTCCCAATTCCGAGACCCGGAACATACGTTCTCATTCCGGAAAAATCCCGGTGGGTCCCGGCCTCCTGGCAACCCTAACTGCATTGTGGAGATAACACGGTGCATACTCATAGGTAGGATTGTAAACTACGTATTGTTGTGACTATAGATGGGCAACCCAATAAACACCCGTAAACACCCATAAACACCTTTTAAAATGGGTGTTTACTTCTTCTGTGAAAATAACTTAGGAATATTGAAAATAAGTATTAAATTTTATTTTTATTAATTCAAATTATTAATTCGTCATTGATGTACGAAACAATAATTTAAGGAAATGTTACCTAGGGAATTTTAAAAATTTTAATTTAAAAACCAGATGAAAATTCTATTTTCTTTCGAGCGTCATCATCTTGTCAGCGTACGCGCAACGTTCATGCAACGCCACCGCTGGATGTATAGCATTGTACTTCTTCGCAAAAAAAAAGTTGAACTGACGCCGTGACTACGTGACGGGGCCTATCCTTCATGACACGACGTCGTCAACGTGAAACGGTGGGGTTTCGCGGCTTCGTGCGTTGCCTGACACGCACGCGTCTGACGTCGTAAGCCAACGCGTCTGACGTCGTCGTAAGCCGATGTGGCTACGACGACGACGTACATTAGTGAAGAATTTACCGGAATTTTACGAGACACGGCGACGTGTAACGATGCGGCGTTATGATTTGCTTTTTTACTATACCTACGGTACCGTTTTGCACATTATGTTAACGAACTGTCGTGTTACTGCACCGTTTCACGTCGTGGTAATTTGAACAGACACTAAGCCTGGGGTTGGGCAGTCAGCCAGCCGGCATGACGATGACGCTTGAAACACGCTAATGTGGGGGTTTCTTAATGACGTGCTTTCTATATGTAGATGCCGCCACGAGGAGGTGTAAAATATTAAAACAAATATCTCCTAACATGTAATATAGTATAGTGACAGTTCACAAAAATAATTATGAGTTATTGAAATCAAATATAGCACCGATTGAAAACATTTGGTTAGACATAAAAGTATGCGTGTTTCGGATTTTTAAAATGTATACATACATACTTTTACAATTTTTCAATTTTTCGACTTGAAATTGGCATGTAGGTATTATCGAGGTTACTATAGGATATCCGACGTCTACTTCGCAAAATTTTCTTTTTAAATTAGGAAGTACCCCCCCTTTACGAATGGTCGAGAATCGACTTGATAAATGTTGAATAACGTCTCAATCCAGGTCCATACGTGATTGAGTAACAAACACGCTAATTTTCATATTTGTGATATTACTAGTAGGGAAAAAAGGTGATATTTATGATTGTTGATGTGTAGACAATGTAATTCAAAAATGTTCTACGTGTCGCAGGCTAGACGGGTGGTCATCAGACGCAAGCGCGTTGCCATGCAACGCGGGTCGCACTGCGGCGTGGGGCACGGGCGCGCTGGTGGCGCGGCTGTTCAAGGAGTTCTCCGCGCTGTTCTTCGTGCGCTGCGACTACAGCGCCGCCCACGCGTGGAGCATGCGCGCGCTGCGGCTGCTCACGCCCTACACGCCCGTCAAGTGAGTACACGGCGCCCTCACGCGGGGCCACAGGCGGCGTGGGGCACGGGGCGAGGAGTCCTCCGCGCTGTTCTTCGTGCGCTGCGACTACAGCGCCGCCCACGCGTGGAGCATGCGCGCGCTGCGGCTGCTCACGCCCTACACGCCCGTCAAGTGAGTACACGGCGCCCTCACGCGGGGCCACAGGCGGCGTGGGGCACGGGGCGAGGAGTCCTCCGCGCTGTTCTTCGTGCGCTGCGACTACAGCGCCGCCCACGCGTGGAGCATGCGCGCGCTGCGGCTGCTCACGCCCTACACGCCCGTCAAGTGAGTACACGGCGCCCTCACGCGGGGCCACAGGCGGCGTGGGGCACGGGGCGAGGAGTCCTCCGCGCTGTTCTTCGTGCGCTGCGACTACAGCGCCGCCCACGCGTGGAGCATGCGCGCGCTGCGGCTGCTCACGCCCTACACGCCCGTCAAGTGAGTACACGGCGCCCTCACGCGGGGCCACAGGCGGCGTGGGGCACGGGGCGAGGAGTCCTCCGCGCTGTTCTTCGTGCGCTGCGACTACAGCGCCGCCCACGCGTGGAGCATGCGCGCGCTGCGGCTGCTCACGCCCTACACGCCCGTCAAGTGAGTACACGGCGCCCTCACGCGGGGCCACAGGCGGCGTGGGGCACGGGGCGAGGAGTCCTCCGCGCTGTTCTTCGTGCGCTGCGACTACAGCGCCGCCCACGCGTGGAGCATGCGCGCGCTGCGGCTGCTCACGCCCTACACGCCCGTCAAGTGAGTACACGGCGCCCTCACGCGGGGCCACAGGCGGCGTGGGGCACGGGGCGAGGAGTCCTCCGCGCTGTTCTTCGTGCGCTGCGACTACAGCGCCGCCCACGCGTGGAGCATGCGCGCGCTGCGGCTGCTCACGCCCTACACGCCCGTCAAGTGAGTACACGGCGCCCTCACGCGGGGCCACAGGCGGCGTGGGGCACGGGGCGAGGAGTCCTCCGCGCTGTTCTTCGTGCGCTGCGACTACAGCGCCGCCCACGCGTGGAGCATGCGCGCGCTGCGGCTGCTCACGCCCTACACGCCCGTCAAGTGAGTACACGGCGCCCTCACGCGGGGCCACAGGCGGCGTGGGGCACGGGGCGAGGAGTCCTCCGCGCTGTTCTTCGTGCGCTGCGACTACAGCGCCGCCCACGCGTGGAGCATGCGCGCGCTGCGGCTGCTCACGCCCTACACGCCCGTCAAGTGAGTACACGGCGCCCTCACGCGGGGCCACAGGCGGCGTGGGGCACGGGGCGAGGAGTCCTCCGCGCTGTTCTTCGTGCGCTGCGACTACAGCGCCGCCCACGCGTGGAGCATGCGCGCGCTGCGGCTGCTCACGCCCTACACGCCCGTCAAGTGAGTACACGGCGCCCTCACGCGGGGCCACAGGCGGCGTGGGGCACGGGGCGAGGAGTCCTCCGCGCTGTTCTTCGTGCGCTGCGACTACAGCGCCGCCCACGCGTGGAGCATGCGCGCGCTGCGGCTGCTCACGCCCTACACGCCCGTCAAGTGAGTACACGGCGCCCTCACGCGGGGCCACAGGCGGCGTGGGGCACGGGGCGAGGAGTCCTCCGCGCGCTGCGACTACAGTTCCGTGTCTGGTGTTTATAAATGACCGTATATAACGTACAAGATATGACGTTTACAAAGATGACGGCGTTAGTTTTCATTTTCGCCACATTCATAAAGATTATTGTCCGTATTATACACAGGGCGCTTAAAACGTCATCTTGACGTGTTGCACCATAACACGACACGCTAATTTCACAGCCGCCATTGAATTTGAATCACACATTACTTATCTCATTACTCATTATTTATCTCAGTCTGCTGAGTTTCTTATTGGTTCTTTCCAGCAACGTATTTTTTCGACTTTGACAAGACTTGTAACAGTATTTTTTTTTTCGTATTGATTGATAGGATAACGATAGAGGTGATCCGCGCGTGCGGCAAGGCGTGCGTGGTGAAGCGGCGGTTCGGGGACGCCGGGGTGCTGGTGCGCCGCGCCGTCTGCCTCGCGCGCGCCCACTGCGGCCCCGCGCACCCCCGCCTCGCCGCCGCGCTGCTGGACCACGGCTTCTACCTGCTCAACGTGGACTCCATCGCACGCAGCGTGTCCGTCTACGAGGCGAGTACTGTGTGTGTCTGCCTCGTGCGAGACTTGACACGCCACGAGGTTTGACATGCGCAGTAGACGATTTAAAAGTCTTTAGGCGTTGTACCACCTAAACAACGACATAAGTGATCTGGCATTAAAAACACCTCCCTTTTTTCCACGTGGAATGCACCCAGAAGCATCTTGGTGTGCAAATCACCTGTGATCACCTTACCAATTGTAAATACGTCATATCTACTTAAATGGGAATAATTAGTAACTAACAATATTGGTCTAATAAGAAACATCTACAATGACTACGAAAATCCACTGATCTGAATTGATTCTACACTAATTCACTCGGTTATCATTCGCTTAAGTCAAAAAATATATATAAAATTCCATATATATTCGTATTCCTATACAAACCGCTCGTCCAGATCATATTCCAATTTGATATTTGACTGTTGATATGCCACCAACAACACTAACGCTGAATGATTGCAGGTATGTGGAACTTCGTACTGTTCCAGAGTCGTCAGTCGAGTCCGTAGCACAACGCGGTATAAGTCGCGGCACGAAACTAGCGCTCAACGTTATTGCGCAGAAGTAAAAATTAAGATGTGTTGGGGGGAAACGAGGTGCGCGGGTGGGCACGCGTTGCGCCGATTGTGTCTCCAGTCGTACCAATGCGCACGCGCAGCTATCCCCCCAGCGTTTTGTTCAGCGCTAGAGTTACGTGCCGCGACCTGTACATTCGATCCATATCGCGAATGTGTATTCACACTAGCGACTCGCGTCAGCTTAACAGGAATTTTGGCATTTCTTGCCTTTTTGAAGAGCGTAAATTGTATCCAACGGTTTTTGCACTTTATGTTTTCTGTTTCACAAAATTCTGATTCATTTTCCTTGGCACATTAACTTTGGTTTATATTGGTATATTAATATTTGGTATGGACTTAGGAACATATGTATCTGAATCGTAATGACTACATTAGTGAAGAAGTTGTAGTTCGGAAAACCTTACTTGTAAGTTTTCCTGAAACCCTGAAAGTTGTTGGCAACACCAACAAGAAATAATTGTTTGTCCTTGTTACTCTGTATCCTCTCTCTCTCTCACGGGTAATGGCGGTTTGTGTAAACTTTAACGTGTCTCCAAGAATAAATTTAATTTACATTCCATGAAACTGGTTTTATCTTGCTGCCCACGACGCACCTGAAGACCCTGACAAAAGTAATTTGTGAAACGCGCTTATAACGTAATGCTTATTTGAAAATGTTGTTTCCAATGGTTTTTGTTCGTGGAAACGCAAATAAACTATCACGATATCATCACACCATGTTTCCACGGTCTAAACTGTAGTTTTTGTTCCGCACAGGAGGCGCTAGCGATGCTACGCAGCGTATTCGGTCGCAGCAGTCTCCACGTGGCCACAGCTCAAGAAGACCTCGCGTACGCGCTCTACGTACTGGAATATTCCTCGGGACGATTCTATAAAGCGAGGGACCACGCGGAACGAGCTATACGGATCATACAGGTCAGTTAGAAATGTTTATTCAGCATATTTAGTCGCAGTTAGGGTTACCATTTAGGAATTCTAAGAGTCCTAACGAACAGCCTGACATTACGAAAAAAGGCCGGAATTTTCAGACACGACATGGTACCATTACTCACTTAGATACAATGGTATAGTATTTAAATCAATATGTACATTTATTATTCACTAGTGGCCCGCCCTCGCTTCGCTTCGGTGTAGAGCTGTGGTGTAAACTATAGTTTTTGTTCTCAGGCTTGTGCTATAAACAATGAATTTATTTATATAATTACACATGTTATTGTGAGACAACCATAAAAGATAGACATATGCTGTAGCGGGATATTTTATTAGACAATTTTATGTAGAATATTTCCGTCATACATGATTTCTATGTAACTTTAACCATTAAGGCTGCACACGCGACGGAAGCTTAAAAAATGGAGTAACTTCTCCCGTTTTCCCAACATTTCCCTTCACTTCACTGCTCCTATTGATTGTAGCGTGATGAAAAGTATACTATAACCTGTCCAGGAGTATGAAGAATAATTGTACCAAGTTTCGTTAAAATCCGTCGAGTCGTTTTTGTTTCTATAAGGAACATACATACAGAGAGACAGACAGACAGACAGACAAAAATTTTACTGATTGCATTTTTGGCATCAGTATCGATCACTAATCACCCCCTGATAGTTATTTTGAAAATATATTTCATGTACAGAATTGACCTCTCTACAGATTTATTATAAGTATAGATATTAAATGTAATTTAATTTAGAGATCCGGACGCAGTCCCGACTATGGTCTAAAAGTCCGGTCATTTCCGGACTAATCCAGACGGATGGTAACCCTTGTTACAGTAGTCTCCACTGCTCACTCTGACTGGCTCCGTCATCATTCACCTCCTTTCATTCATTCATTCACCCGAATTTCATTGGCAATCGTATTCGGGCTAACGTATCGTAACGACCAAGTATAATTGAGCCATCAGGACGATTCTATAAAGCGAGGGACCATTACGAACGGGCTAAACGTATCACATATAACTAAATGGAGAAAAAACATCACTTTTCTTCTCAAGAGATGGCGCTAGCAGCGTCGCACTCAATAGGTATGAAAAGCCTACATCGCGCTTACGAAATTCGGAGTTAACACACAAAAAAAAAAAAAAAAGTACTCCGCTGACTCGTTTCTCTGAACGGTATAGTTCTATTTATATTCTGCTATATAGCGAGGTTTATTTTATTTCCTCAAGCTCTCTCTGACTGATCTTTTTATATGTTCATTACTTTGTATTGTTTTTTATAGCTTCCATATACTTTCTATATTTTATTTTCCTATATTTAAGTTTATTTATTTATTTTTACAATGCACAGCCCGCTGTTTCTACTATTCTTATGGTATCGTTTCATTTAGCCAAAGGTTACCTGGTAGAGATTGCTACCTTAGCAATAAGGCCGCCTTTTGAGTTTGCGTTCCTGTTTTATGTTTATTGTTTTTTTTGTAATAGTGCAATAAAGAGTATTCATTCATTCATTCATATGGCTGGAATATAATTTTGCTTTTTCAAGTTAAATAAAAAAAATGTATGCGTGACCGAAAATCTTCTGTCTCGAGTTCACGATGGCACGTTAAGCCGTTGGTCCCGACTGCATCTGCAGTCGTTAGCACCCGCCAATCTGCATGCCCGCGTGGTGGGTCATGGCCCAATCTCCCTATTCCATTCATAGGGAAGACCCCAGCAGTGGGGACATCAATAGGCGGATGACGATTATGATGAAGTTAAATAATATAAAGCAAAGTTTACTAAAAAAAAATCCACGCGGACCAGGCAGCGGACGCAGATGGCGCTGCTTTGCAGCTTAAGGCTAGGAAAATTTCGACGCGGCGAATAGGGCCGTGGTAGCATAATGGTCAGTGCATTCACCCGGATTGCGAAGGGTGCGGGTTCGAGTCCCGTCCGCTGCCTGGCCCGCGTGGATTTTTTTTTTCTAGTAAATTTTTCTTTCGTTTTAAACATCTAGCAGTTAGATGCTTAAAAATAAATAAAAACATAACTTAAATAATATATGTAAATTTTGTTCAGAATTTAGTGCCTCCTGACCACCTGCTGCTGGCGTCTGCTAAACGGGTGAAGGCGCTCATACTGGAGGAGATTGCGCTCGACACGCCTGCAGGACAGGATATGAGCGGTAATACATTCAACGGTTCAATTCATTCAACCAACTTTGAGCTTCACCCTGCTCGATATGTGATTCAGAAAATTTGATAATGACGATGTTTGATCTTGATGTGTTTTGTGGCGGCGACATCTAGGGTGTATTCCGAAATGTACATCAGTATACTGGCCAGTGGTAATGACGTCACGAATCCGACGCCATATTGTACTGGTATGCTACCATATTTATACTGGGAAAACGAATATGACGTATGACCGAGCGTGCGTGAGATGCATTCGAATTTTATTTCTTTTTTATTTAAAGAACAATAGTAGCATCCGAACAAAGAGAATTCCTTTTAATTGATGAGGTGAATAAAAAAATCTTTTTTATTCGTACTATTTTTAATTTTTCATCGATTTATGACGTCAGTGCACTGGCCTGTATATTTCGGAACAATTCACCAGTATAGCGTCGATACACGACGTCATGAGCACTGGCCTGAATACACCCCTACATGCCCCACATACAATCTACATGGAGGAAATAGTCACTCGGCTCCTTAAGAGATGGCGCTACCGGCGCTGCGTTCACAACGTAAGGAAGCCTACATCGCGCAAGAGAAATTCGGAGCCAAACACTCCATATATACGATGTCCTACCAAGATTGGTCGGGCCGCGGCCCCCGAGCTACCATCACCCAGCTTGGAGGAAGATCTTCTCCTTTGGCTTCCTACAGTCTGTACAATAGGCTGTAATTTTACTGCTAAAAATAAAGTAGATTTTCGAAATGAATATTGGCAGAAATTTTACTATTCTGGCAAGAAAAATGACTTGATTTATCTACAAATTCATGAAAAATTTAAGAGTATTTTGAGCTTTTGTCATGCGATTGAAAATGATTAAGATTGGCCGATCGACAACGATCTCACCAACGATTATTATCATTATTACCGTTTGCGTTTCGAGTCGATGTCTCACGCTTGTTATAATTTATATTGCCCAGTGAAACGGTTATATATCTTAGTAGAAAATTAATGACACTTCGTCTGCGTGGAGAAATTGGTTTCTCATACAAACTTCCACCTCCCTTTTCACTCCTTTAAATGATAATGATTTGGATAAAAACTATCCTCTGTCCTTTTCTGGGATTCAAATTATAAATGTGCCAAATTTCATTTTAATCGGTCCAGCGGTTTAGGAGTGGAGAGGTAACAGATAGACAGACACATTTTCGCATTATTCGCATATTAGTGTGGATTATTAGGATAGCTACACACATAAGCGAGTCGACATAGTCAGTTCGTTAAGTATGTATCGAACAACGAAGCCACCCGAAGTAATTACTGCACTTATTCGGCGTCATTTCAGGCCGACATATCATTTGATTTGGCAGTACTTGTGAAACGAAAAAGTACTATGTACTACATAAATTAATTTCCAATCAGTTCGGTTTTCATTTGGTCGTCGTCGCTAGGTTTTCAATTATCGTGTTCATGATTTTGAAGGTCACTTCTCACCCAAAATCTTCGGAGTTTTCGTAAATAAAGAGCCGGCAATAACAACAAAACTTGCAGAAACTAAGAACACGTCGTCCTCGTCCCACATTCTTAACAGAACTAAAATGTAAGCTGAGTAAAGTGCCAATTGCCTAACGGAAATGCTTTGGAAAACGCTAACGCTTACGATTTCATTTTGTTATTTCTAGCCGCCTGAGGTTTTCAAATGCCTCGCGCTCTTTTTTTTCTTTTGCATTGGTAATAACAATATTAAAAAAAATGAGCGTGAGGTATTTGAAAACCTTCGGCGGTCAGAAATAACAAAATAAAATCGAAAACGTTAGCGTTTTCCAAAGCATTTCCGTTAGGCGAATGGCCCCCAGGTTGTGATTACCGAACATTCAACTACAAAATTCGGTTTTACCGCTCAACTTTGCCGATGACTGCCGGCCCACTGATGCTGCCCGCCTATTGAAAGCCGAGCGGTCTTTTCGCGAACATTCATCTACATCCGACCTACGTGGCCGAGTGGTTTGTACGCCGGGTTTCGTGGTGTCGCCGACTCGAGAGGTCCCGGGTTCGAGTCCCGGTGGGGGCAGATGTTTGTGTGATGAATACGAGCATTTGTACTCCAGTCATGGATGTTTAATATGTATCTCTATATAAATATACTTATATATGTATTCTATCTGTTACCCTAGTATCCCATAACACACGCCTTACAGTGCTTACTTTGGAGCTAGGTAATTGGTGTGTGTGTTGGAAATATTTATTATTATTATTTATTACATATATTCGATTTCACCGCCCGACTGTGCCGATTAATGCCGCCCCGATTATGTATGTAGCTACCCTTACTGAAACAACACAAAAAGATAAATAATAACGTACTTATTTCGACCATAATCACAAGCAATTGTAACGTATAATGGTTTTCAAATATTATTTTTTTGTCATGTATAATCTTAAGAGCCATTTCACATTTTTTGCAAAAAAACGTAATTTTTGTACGCCTCATTTACCCCCTTACATTTTTTTGACTATTTCCAAAAGAAGTAAACAGTAGATTTATACTTACTTTTGAAAGTTAATGTAGAATATTTACAAATATTATTTTACTTTTTGTGTACTGATCGTTCTAGCGCAGCTAGTTTACGTAAAAAATGATAATACGCCTGCAGCGTTTGAAGTTGTGCATATTACCTCTAAATAATGTTCAATAAATTAGATCAAATTAATTACTACGACATCAGAAATATGTTTTTGTTGTAACATAATATGTCAGAATTTTGATTTTCCATCTCATTAATTATCAAAAAAACGTCTAACCTCCATGAGTTTTTCCAAAAAACATTGCAGGTTTACCTCGTATTTTAATATTGAATTAAATAGAATTACTTCAAAAACTTCCATAATAGTAATCTACTATCATTGAACTACTGAAATATGTATATATTTTTATGATTAGTTTGTTAATAATTATTTAATAAGACTCGAAACATCACCCGTAAAATGCAATATATACTAGTGCAAATCTACCTACGCGCCGATCAGTACGGCAGCGACGCAATTTTGTAAAAGGGCTCTTAACGGCTGGTTTTATTAAAATTAGTTTCCATTTAATTGCATGCATATTTTCATTATGAAGATGTATAATAACAATTGTTTTTATGAAGCGAAACCACTTAATCAGAGGTTGATTATTGAAACCGGTCGTAAGCTTTTTATGCGTATTATTGTCTGGTACAGAACCAAATCTACTGGAGGAGTCTGAGGCACTGCACAAAGCGGCGTTGTCCCTCTCCATGATGGCTTTCGGGGAGAACAACGTGCAGACCGCCAAGCACTACGGCAACCTCGGCCGCCTCTACCAGAGCATGCAGAAGTTTCAGGTGCCTCCCGCCCCCCTCTCCTTTATTTATTTATTTATTTAAACTTTAATGCCACAATTACAAAATGGACAAAGGCGGACTTAACGCTAAAAACATTCTCTGCCAGTCAACCTTTAGGAGTACAGAAAGACACGAATGCGGCTTTAGTAAAGAAGTAATTAACTAATATAAACATACCATAATAGAAAGTACTTATCTTATACATATACTCATTGTCACTATTACTGCACTAATGTCACTACCATCATCATCATCAGCCTATTAAGGTCCCCACTCCTGGGCCTTCCCTATGGACGGAATAGGGAGATTGGGCGATGACCCACCACGCGGGCCTAGTTCGGATTGGCGGGTGCTGACGAATGCAGATGCAGCCGGCATCAAAGCCTTAACGTGCCTTCCCAAGCACGGAGGAACTCGAGATAGGAGATTTTTGGTCACCCATCCAATGAGCGACCACTGCTAAAGTTGCTCAACTTCAACGATCACAGCCGAACGCGTTCAACACCTGCGCTATCGAGATCCCAATATGTCACTATATTACTGCACTAATGTCACTGTCACTATCCATGATAGCGTTCAGAACAATGACCAGTGCATGCATAAGTTCCAGGTCACTACAAGGAGGTATAAGAATAGAGTGGGGAAGGCGGCTCTAAAAGTGTCCGTCTAGTAGAAAGAGAAAGAAGATGAAAGACCGCAAGCTATCTCTCTCTCTTGTGACACATTGCATCCAATGGCATCACATCGAAAAGTAAGATGCTTACGGTTGCCAATGCGCATGCGCGATTAGAAAGAGAAAGCTAGCGGTCTCTCATCTTCTTTCTCTTTCCATTAGAGGGACACTTCCACTTGTAGCAGAGTCTATATCTCCCCTACTCTATTCTTATACCTCTATGCGTACAGTGCGACAAGGATCTTAATGAATGCGAGAGACAGTTCAGGGAGGGCGCCACTGTCTACGTAACTAATGTCTACGGGTGTATCCCGAAATATAAACCAGTATACTGGCCAGCGGTAATGACGTCATGATTTCGACGCCATATTGCACTGGTGTAGTAGTAGTGTTATCAATAAAGTCCTGGCAATGATAGCGGAGAGGTTTGACTGTCCTTACATGCGGCATTGTTGTGCACAGCATATATTACCTAATGGAGGGGTGTAATATTATTAAATAAAATTGTAGGCTATTTTATATTAAAAAATGCGGTCTGATATAAATAAGAAATTTTGTGTACCTATGACATTTTAATATTCATTTTGTGTATGACATTATATTAACTTGACTTTTGATTTTTAATTATTTTATTTGATGGAAATTATTGAATTTAAATTATGTTATTTATTAAATTAAACAAATGATTAGTTGTATTTTTAGTGACATGTGCCTAATTCTATAGTAATGGATTATGTATTATTATTAATTTTATGAGTTATGTTGCTCGAAATGAATGAATTTTATTTTTATTTTATTTATTACCGCTGGCCAGCGTACTGGTGTTTGATTCGTACGTTACTACGTTAGTTCCAATTTTCGCCACATTTATAAAGATCTTTGTAGTACTATGGGCGCGCGCGTGTTGTCGCTAAACTGTGACGCGTACGAATTGCAGTCCTAATACAGGCTCCGGCCACTTATTCAAACAGACGAAACCTCTATCAACGCGATTAGCGCATTCCGTTAACACGAGCGTTTTTACTAACTATTTTATGTATTTAATGTTTTTAGATCAGGTTAAAGAATTGGGATTTAGTCTTTGACGCAGTTTACGTTTAAATTATAAAGATTTTTTTTGCTACAACTTCGAATACTTCATACTTATTTGACGACCTCCGTGGCCAAGTGGTTTGTACGCCGGGTTTCATGATGTCGCCTATTCGAGAGGTCTCGGTTTCGAATTCCGGTAGGGGTAGATGTTTCTGTGATGAATACGACCATTTGTACTCCAGTCATGGTTGTTTAATATGTATTTTTATATAAATATATTTATATATGTACAGTAAATGTATTCTATCTATTACCCTAGTATCTCATAGCACAAGCCTTACAGTGCTTACTTTGGGGCTAGGCTTATTGGTGTGTGTTGGAAAATATTTATTTGCTGCTAATTAAGGACTATATTAACGCACAACGTTACAATTTGATTAAACGTTTGTTCGCAGGACGCGGAGACGATGCACCTTAAAGCGATAGCGATAAAGGAACAGTTACTCGGTCCCGAGGACTACGAAGTGGGGCTCAGCATCGGGCACCTGGCGTCCCTCTACAACTACCACATGAATATGCACCACGCGGCCGAACAACTGTACCTGCGTTCCATTGCCATCAGTCAGTGTCTTTAATAGTTATTTATGCACCTTATAGCACAGGGTAGGCGAACCAATGGCACGCGTGCCACTGATGGCACGCGACACAATATTTTGGGCACGTCGCCAATCATAAAACATGTGTAAAAAATGATTTAAGTAGGTATTTTATGACGATCGAACGCGAGTGATCCTACGCTACGAAGTAACTGTTTGAAGAAGTTAGCACATGCTATTTTAACAATGTTTTCATCTACCTATGCCTGCGAGTCACTGTTTTCAGAGATGAATAACATTAAAAACTCGTTTAGAAACCGTTTGACAGATGAATCCAGTTCAGCATGCATTTTGCTAAAAGTAGCATCTTACAACCCTAACATAAATTATTTGTTATCAAACCTGCAGCAACAGAAGTCACACTAATTTTACAGTAATCTAATTTATGCGTATAATAAAAACATTCCAGAATTCTTTGGTTTCTTTATTTCATAAAGATTTCTGATAGTATTTATATTATTATCTTCTAAATAATCATAAAGTCAAAATTATTTGATGGCATGCCAATGACCCAATTAAAGATTTTTTAGAAAAAATGCCACGTTGATTCATAAAGGTTCGCCTACCCTGCTATAATATAGCACCTTAAAGTGATAAAGCGACAGCGATAAAGTGTGGTGATGGGGTTTGGGTGACTCACGGGAGAAATCACGACGAGCGTTCAATGTGAAATCAACATTCAATCAACTTAACGTACGTCTTATATACTATTTACAATATGTATACGACGTGCTTAGGCTTAGATACCTAATCGTATCGGGGAATTGTTATCAACTAGAGGACGTGATTTACACTTCACCACAAAAGGAACAGTTACTCGGTCCCGAAGATTACGAAGTGGGGCTGAGCATCGGGCACCTGGAGGCCAATCGCTTAACGGGATTCCTATAGCTATCGCTTACGAATTCATTTTATTTTTTCTGACCACCGAAGGTTTCAAATGCATCGCCCTCTTTTTTTATTCTTTTGCATTGGTATTAACAATATTAAAGAAAATGAGCGTGAAGTATTTGAAATCCTTCGGCGGTCAGAAATAACAAAACGAAACCGTAAGCGATAGCGCTAGTCATAGCAATCCCGTTAGGCGATTGCCCCCTGGCGTCCCTCTACATCAACTACCAAATGAATATGCACTACGCGGCCGAACAACAGGCTTATAGCCCGCATTTTACGACAAAAAACTTTTATCATGATTAGAACCTCTATTGAATATTCTGATACAGTTAGCTTATTGCCAACATTAAAGCATCCAATGTCATAATTTAAAAGAATCTTGGGTGTTATAATGTTGTACTAAATTTCATAATAACACTCATTCGCTTTTAAAATCTCTTCCTCTACTCATCAGACAGCCACAATTTACACTGCTCGATGAGTGGTATTATGAATTTAAAAAAAAAAATAGAAAAAGATTTTAGAGGGTTCTAAAATCTTTTTCTAAATTTTTTTTAAATTCTTGGTTTTCCAATCTTCTGTAGAGGATTCATATCATGGGTGTAGATAAAGTTTTGTATGCAACTGTTTAAAAAAATAATGTACCAACAATTGGCATTGGCCTACCTGCGCTCCATCGCCATCAGTCAGTGCCTTTAATAGTTATTTATGCACCTTAAACCGATAAAGGAACAGTTACACGGTCCCGAAGACTACGAAGTGGGGCTCAGCATCGGCCACCTGGGGGCCAATCGCCTAATGAGTCACCAAATTTCTTTGTACGCGTTGTAATTGTGGCCACAGCTTGTATAATGAGGGGTTTTAAAACACTACGCCTCTTGTGATAATAGTATCTGTACAATGGGTGCCCGAATGAAAGACAATTCTTTTAAGTTATTGAGGTGTTTACTGCTCGGAAGCTAATAAAAAGTGTTTTTAAACCAATTTTTTCTTGTCGGCAACGCCATCTAATTTCTAAGTGTTGAACCCTAAACATATTAAGTTTGCAAGCTATCTAGATTCACCTAGAGTGACTAGATGGCGCTGTCGTCACAGTATCACATCAGTATTTTAATACCTATTAGGGTATTTGACAAATTTTCATCTCACTTATTTATTAATGTTTATGGAGTCCATAAAAAGTGGATATTTTTAATTCCATTGTGCAATTCGGTAAAAAATCTAAATTAAAAAATCAATTTTCAAGTTGCCGCGACAATGTTTTTCTGGACATTATGGCTTCTCACTGGTGTGTGACGTCACACGACTGTCATTTAAATGTCAAACGATTCAATGTAAGCCTATGTATGTATGTACCTTAGCCGGAAGTTAACTAGGTTGTGACGTCGTTTTAGCCTTAACCAATAACAGGCGTTTACGATCACGTGACTATAGAGCAAAAAAAAAATCATTTCTTTTTAATGATTTTATAGAAATGTTATCAGTGATTAGTTCTTTCAGAATAGTAAAATCGCTGTTTATATTTTTATTAAATACAGATGCCAATTGTTGGTACATTATTTTTTTAAACAAAACATATCTACACCCATGATATGAATCTTCTATAGAAGATTGGAAAACCATGGAGGGTTCTAAAATCTTTTTCTAATTTTTTTTTAATTCATAATACCACTCATCGAGCAGTGTAAATTGTGGCTGTCTGATGAGTAGAGGAAGTAATTTCAAAAGCGAATGAGTGTTATTATGAAATTTAGAACAACATTATAACACCCAAGTTTCTTTTAAATTATGACATTGGATGCTTTAATGTTGGCAATAAGCTAACTGTATCAGAATATTTAATAGAGGTTCTAATCATGATAAAAGTTTTTTGTCGTAAAATGCGGGCTATAAGCCTGTTTGTCAGGCGTGGCCTGATGGTAAGCGGCCACCATAGCCCATAGACGCTTTCGATACCAAAAATATCACTCGCATCGTCGTCTACCCTGACTCTGGTTACTATTTAAAAATTTGAAAAGTTCTGTAAAAAAGCCGGATATTTCGATAAAAGTCCGGACATTTTAGTCACAGAATGCAAACATCACCCTCTTAGTTACAGTGATATTATATGCGTGGTAGCAGACGCTCGCATCGCGAGAGGGGTCTCGTATTGTTTTAAATTAATGGGAACTTAATAAAGATTATTTGACTTATTTGATATAACTTAATAAGAAGCTTTACTCATATTCAATCTAATTTTAAAAAGCCGGACAAAGTCCGGACCAAAGGGAAAAAGTCAGGAAAAATCCGGTAGGATGGTAACCCTAACGCTGAACCAATCCCCAACCCCGTGGAGCCCTGAAACCTCACAACACCACCAAAAGATAGTGTTATTTTACTGTAGTGTTCCGTAAGGTGGAGGTAATTTCCCCAGAACGCTTTGCCCTACCTCTCTTAATGCATGTCTTACATCCTCCCTATTATAGGTAAGTTAGGTTCTAAATACTAAATTGACAAATTTTTACTCTAAATAGCATAATCAACACAAAAACTCTTCACTCGATAACGTTATATTTTACTGTGGGAACAGGTCTGAAGTTGTTCGGCGAGCGGTACTCGGGCCTGGAGTACGACTACCGCGGACTCGTGCATGTGTTCACTCAGCTCAAGCAGCATCGACGCGCCGACCACTACACGAGTCTACTGCAGCGCTGGCATTGTACGTACACACTCCATACAACCATGGACACATTGATACAAGCAGCACCGCCCTACAGACCACTACACGAGTCTACTGCAGCGCTGGCATTGTACGTACACACTCCATACAACCATGGACACATTGATACAAGCAGCACCGCCCTACAGACCACTACACGAGTCTACTGCAGCGCTGGCATTGTACGTACACACTCCATACAACCATGGACACATTGATACAAGCAGCACCGCCCTACAGACCACTACACGAGTCTACTGCAGCGCTGGCATTGTACGTACACACTCCATACAACCATGGACACATTGATACAAGCAGCACCGCCCTACAGACCACTACACGAGTCTACTGCAGCGCTGGCATTGTACGTACACACTCCATACAACCATGGACACATTGATACAAGCAGCACCGCCCTACAGACCACTACACGAGTCTACTGCAGCGCTGGCATTGTACGTACACACTCCATACAACCATGGACACATTGATACAAGCAGCACCGCCCTACAGACCACTACACCAGTCTACTGCAGCGCTGGCATTGTACGTACACACTCCATACAACCATGGACACATTGATACAAGCAGCACCGCCCTACAGACCACTACACGAGTCTACTGCAGCGCTGGCATTGTACGTGCACACTCCATACAACCATGGACACATTGATACAAGCAGCACCGCCCTACAGACCACTACACGAGTCTACTGCAGCGCTGGCATTGTACGTACACACTCCATACAACCATGGACACATTGATACAAGCAGCACCGCCCTACAGACCACTACACGAGTCTACTGCAGCGCTGGCATTGTACGTACACACTCCATACAACCATGGACACATTGATACAAGCAGCACCGCCCTACAGACCACTACACGAGTCTACTGCAGCGCTGGCATTGTACGTACACACTCCATACAACCATGGACACATTGATACAAGCAGCACCGCCCTACAGACCACTACACCAGTCTACTGCAGCGCTGGCATTGTACGTACACACTCCATACAACCATGGACACATTGATACAAGCAGCACCGCCCTACAGACCACTACACGAGTCTACTGCAGCGCTGGCATTGTACGTACACACTCCATACAACCATGGACACATTGATACAAGCAGCACCGCCCTACAGACCACTACACGAGTCTACTGCAGCGCTGGCATTGTACGTACACACTCCCAACAACCATGGACACATTGATACAAGCAGCACCGCCCTACAGACCACTACACGAGTCTACTGCAGCGCTGGCATTGTACGTACACACTCCATACAACCATGGACACATTGATACAAGCAGCACCGCCCTACAGACCACTACACGAGTCTACTGCAGCGCTGGCATTGTACGTACACACTCCATACAACCATGGACACATTGATACAAGCAGCACCGCCCTACAGACCACTACACGAGTCTACTGTAGCGCTGGCATTGTACGTACACACTCCATACAACCATGGACACATTGATACAAGCAGCACCGCCCTACAGACCACTACACGAGTCTACTGCAGCGCTGGCATTGTACGTACACACTCCATACAACCATGGACACATTGATACAAGCAGCACCGCCCTACAGACCACTACAAGAGTCTACTGCAGCGCTGGCATTGTACGTACACACTCCATACAACCATGGACACATTGATACAAGCAGCACCGCCCTACAGACCACTACACGAGTCTACTGCAGCGCTGGCATTGTACGTACACACTCCATACAACCATGGACACATTGATACAAGCAGCACCGCCTTACAGACCACTACAAGAGTCTACTGCAGCGCTGGCATTGTACGTACACACTCCATACAACCATGGACACATTGATACAAGCAGCACCGCCCTACAGACCACTACACGAGTCTACTGCAGCGCTGGCATTGTACGTACACACTCCATACAACCATGGACACATTGATACAAGCAGCACCGCCCTACAGACCACTACACGAGTCTACTGCAGCGCTGGCATTGTACGTACACACTCCATACAACCATGGACACATTGATACAAGCAGCACCGCCCTACAGACCACTACACGAGTCTACTGCAGCGCTGGCATTGTACGTACACACTCCATACAACCATGGACACATTGATACAAGCAGCACCGCCCTACAGACCACTACACCAGTCTACTGCAGCGCTGGCATTGTACGTACACACTCCATACAACCATGGACACATTGATACAAGCAGCACCGCCCTACAGACCACTACACGAGTCTACTGCAGCGCTGGCATTGTACGTACACACTCCATACAACCATGGACACATTGATACAAGCAGCACCGCCCTACAGACCACTACACGAGTCTACTGCAGCGCTGGCATTGTACGTACACACTCCATACAACCATGGACACATTGATACAAGCAGCACCGCCCTACAGACCACTACACGAGTCTACTGCAGCGCTGGCATTGTACGTACACACTCCATACAACCATGGACACATTGATACAAGCAGCACCGCCCTACAGACCACTACACGAGTCTACTGCAGCGCTGGCATTGTACGTACACACTCCATACAACCATGGACACATTGATACAAGCAGCACCGCCCTACAGACCACTACACCAGCCTACTGCAGCGCTGGCATTGTGTCTCATCATCATCAGCCGATTAATGTCCCCACTACAGGGGCTCAGGCCTAGTATATTGGTTGGTGCTAACGATTGAAGATGTAGCCGAGACGGGCTTTACGTTTGAAAGGCACGTTAAGCCCGTCTCGGCTACACGGAGGCGCGGGTTAATAAATATTTGGTCATATGCCTTTATTGAAATAATAAGCATAAATGTTATCTTTCTCTTAAGCAGAGAAAAACTTAAAAAGTTAATAATAATTTTGTCACGATTGGAAATAGACAAAGAAAAAAGAAATACTTATTGCAGTTCAATACTTGGGTCAGAATGAATTTTTTTAACCAGGTATTCAAAAGTACTTACGAGACCGATGTACCTATTCATTTTTTTCACTATAACTTCCCGCATACACTTTGTAAACAGAATCAATCACCAAACCTACTTTCGTAAAGCCTTGTGGCTCTGCTGAGTATTCCGTGACACTCGCAATAACCAGTGGCGGCGCTAGACCACATGTGGACGTCGGCAACATCAAGTTCGCGAGGCCTATTTTAATTCGCAGTAAAAAACCGTTAAATTAAGTGAGCCAAATTATAAAATAACGTATGAGTAAACGATTTTTATTGTTGATAATCAAATGATGACAAAAAATAATTACAAACATAAAAATTTAATTACAAAAATAGTGTTGTCAGACAGACGATTCTGAATACCCGTAAAGTACTTCTCGCTTCCATCACGCACGTGTTCGAAAATAATAAAAGTCATTATCATCTGCTTAGCCTTTTCCCCGAATTGTTCGGGGTCGGCTACCTAAGCCAGGCCAGGAGAAACGAAAATGAATAAGTAACTTGTAAAAATTTTTTGCGAGGCCCCCTCAGGCGCGAGACCGTCGGCGGTGGCCGACGTCGCCGACGCCTAGCGCCGCCACTGGCAATAACAACACACCATGTCCAAATTCTTATATTGAGGCAGAAGAACAAGAACTAGTCAAGGCATTATTTGCAAATCTTGTCTTGTCAAAGATACGCACGCGCCGTGGATAGACTTGAGACTGCGCTGTGCACCGCGCATAGGTAGGTAGGAAGGTATTCAACGGCGGGAGCGGCTGCTATTTACAACTGACTCTTTAAATCAGTGCCATACAAAAATACATACAACCCAAAATTTTCACCCTTCTCCCACCCACCCCTATTTTTTATGGCGGTACGAAGTTCACTGGGACAGCTAGCGCTTCCATAACATTTCTAATTCTTTGGTTTCAGTTCGATATTTGTTATTTAGTTTAATCTAATATATAAAATTCTCGTGTCGCGGTGTTTGTGGTTAAACTCCTCCGAAACGGCTTTCCCGATTCTCATGAAATTTTGTGTGCATATTGGGTAGGTCTGAGAATCGGACAAAATCTATTTCTCATCCCCCTAAATGTTAAGGGTAATCCACACCAAAATTTTTTTTACAATTTTAGATATTTTTTTTTTAATTTTTTTATGATACGTCATACAAAAGTACATACAACCCTAAATTTTCACCCTTCTATCACCAACCCCTATTTTTTATGGCGGTACGAAGTTCGCTGGGACAGCTAGTCTAATATATAAAATTCTCGTGTCGCGGTGTTTGTGGTTAAACTCCTCCGAAACGGCTCGACCGATTTTCGTGAAATTTTATATGCATATTCAATAAATCTGAAAATCGGACAACAATTATTTTTCATCCCCCTAAATGTTAAGGGTAATCCACCCCTAAATTTTGTTTTCAATTTTTTTTTTAATTTTTTTATGATGTATATACAAAAATAAATATAACCCAACATTTTCGCCCTTCTTCCACCAACCCCTATTTTTTTATGGCGGTACGAAGTTCGCTGGGACAGCTAGTATAGATATAACATTGTTGACAGTGCTAAGAGAACAATCCCGAGCGGAGCAGCAGCAGCCGGCGCTTGAAGACGAGCTGATGATGCCGCTTGAGGAACTCCAGCACAAGCTGTTCGCCAACGATTGAACCCCCGACCCATGTGCCTAGTGCGAGCTAAGATACTATTCCTCAACTATCATGGGTTTGTTTCCTTTCTATACATGTAAATGAGGTTCATCACCCTTCATTCAATACAGACGGTAAAATAGTGAGTGATCATAGAAAAAGATATGGTTTTGACATCCGTCAATTAATAAATAAAATATAATATTTGTGCACGAAAAATTGTACGAAATAATAGCTATAAATGTTGTTTCTCATTTCTGAGCAACACAATTGTTTTATTTCGTAATTAAATCTATTTAGTTCATAAAATCACATTATATACATTTGACAGTCGCAGTTGTTCTTTTAGGAAATCCTGATGACCCTGGTCCACCAATTCACCTGATTTTAAAAGTATATGCAGAGTCCAACTATGACTTTAACATAGCTTAATAGTTTTTTTTATATTAATATTATCCATCCAAACCTGTATCATACTCCCAATATCTCTTGAAGATTACTACAGAATACTGTTTTGACAAAGTTGAAACATATTAAAGCGGTAATAATTTAGCAATACGAGCAAAGTCTCCTGTCTGTGTAAAACCTTTCTTGATTTCTAATAAATATGTTGCTATACAATGTATGGAGACAAACGCATCATATCATAGTTTTTGAATACATTCCAACCTCGCACTAGATACTTTGGTGATGACCCACTCCGCATACCACGCTTACAGGGAGATTCTCAACACCACCAGCAAAAGGAATGCCTGTTTCACAGCGACTCGATTATCAATAATGCATTTGACAGCTCTAGAAAGAAAATATCATTAATGCTGTCTAAGCTGTTAACAAAACATCTGTTAATTTCATCAATCCTCCCTGTATCGTATTAGTTCATAAACGATATAATATCTATTATATTAATGATGGACAACCATTTGAGTTTGATTCAAACAAATACAAACAGATTTTTTATAAAAATGATTTTTTTAGTAACAGATAACAAATAGTTTCCTTTAATTATTGTTATACATACTATGTTTTTTTTTACATATTGATACTGATTTAGTTAATTCATTATATTCTCAAAAGCTGTTAATTTTTAACAATATTACTAATGAATTAGTATGGTTTACATTTTTTTAATCCGAATACGATTTTATTATAATATATAATATGCAATGTACTGGTAAATCTATAAGATTTTCTCAGAGATGTGTAAATGTATCTAGAATTTTCTCCCAGGCCTGTTCCGGAAATTGAAAAGAAAACCTAGTTGCCTACTTTTAGTCAATAAAAGTGTTGTAATATCGTCAATCGGCACTATAAATAAGAGGCTTTCCTACTAATCTAGTCTTTACTCTAATAAGATATCGGTCGTTCCCGATAACCTATCCCAGGCAAGAGTTAAGCTAACTAAAGTTACTATGCTAAATAAAACACGTTTTTAACGGGTTAGATGTACTGAATTTATTTATTGACGTTTCGCATCCTTTGCAGGAATGCGTCGTCAGAACATAGATTTTTTTGGAAAAAGAAAAAATAACGTGTTTTATTTAATTAGTGAAGTGCGTGAAAACCTAAGAAACAAATACTATGCTAATGAATTTTTTTTTAATTTTTTGAAAATAATATCTATGGAAAAATAACTAAATTAGATTTTTTTTTTTCACACTTGAGGATAATATATTGAGAATGGCTGTATGTATGTTGACTGACACAAGCCATCTCTAATTCTAGATTTCCGCAAATTTATTTATTAGGAGCAAAGCCACTTGTATGCATACAGGCAGATCTCGTCTTGTTCATTTTCGGAATAGGCATATAACATAGGTTTTATTTAAAGTGCCTAGCGAATATACATTGTCCAGTTGTACCGGAAGCACAAAACGAAATGTAACCTCGCTCACGACTGCTCTATGTGTCTATAGTATGTAGTCGTTGGATGTAAATTAATATTTGCTTCGGGCGAATCACGCTAGAGTGCCTGTATATAACGATGTATGTTTTGATTGTCGATATTATATATTTGATTTGGTTGATCAATTGTCACCTAATAAACAAACCTCGCAACTAAACATTTTAATTAAAAATTATCACTCGTTTAGAGCATTCTTTACCAAAGCTATATTAATATCTGCCTTAGGAATTCAACATTTTATTTTATCAGTTTTATATATTGTTATCCTTTAAAAATGGTTACAACATGTTGCGGAGTTCGTTTTTCAAGTGACGTCATGTTCCTCGTGCGTTATGTGTATATAATGGTATCGATTCTGCCATGATTCTCTAAATCTAAACTTAAATTTGACAAGTGTATCCTTGTCATTCTCTATACAGAATGAAAAGGAGAGACTGATGTAAAATTTAGTTCTAAGTTTAGAGAATCACGCCAGAATCGACACCATTGTTATATTTTATAGTGATTTGTTTATAGCTAAGGCGTTTATTTTAGGAGTAGAGAAATTTTACGTAATGACGTGCAATGGATCGAGACAAGTTTGTGTAAATATTGAAGCTAAACTGATCTTTTTGCCAATGTTGCCAGTGATTGTTTTCGTTTATAAAAAAAAATATATGCGATTCATAATAGTTTATATATGCGTTCGATTATGGCTGTCGACATCTGTACCTTCAGCACAAACCAATATCGAATTTCATCTCGATACGAGTCAAATGTTAAGACGTTTTGTATGGAAGTTTTTTTTTTTATTGATAGGTCCGACAAATGACTCCACCCCACCTGATGTTAAGTGAAGGTGAAGTCCAGACGTGAAGATAGCTGATACAGCAGTTTTACCTGCCACACCAGCCATCCTCACCCTGCCGGCCTGCATGTTGCTTCTTCACGCCTCTTTTAAAGGATCCCAGGTTGTAAGAGGGAGGGAACGCGTGAGCGGGCAGAGCATTCCATTTACGGATAGTGCGACAAAGAAATGAGTCACCAAATTTCTTTGTACGCGTTGGAATTGTGGCCACAGTTAGACGGTGACAACGTAGGCCAGCGCGCGTGGTCCTCTGAAGGAAAGGGGAAGGTGGGATAAGAGAGAATAACTCCTCAGAACACTCGCCGTGGTACAGACGATAGAACGCGCTTAGTGACGCCACGTCGCGTAATTGAAGAGGCTCAAGGTTTACATCCGTTGTGGCGCTGTTCAAATTTCCATACAAAACTACTTGACATTTGACGCGTATCAAGATAGAATTCAACTATTCTAGCTCGATATTGTATCGTGCCGAGGGCACTTTTAGCTAGTAACTATAACGCAAATCGTATGTCTGATACTTCCACAATGATATTTGCGATTCATACGTGGACCGGGGGTCTTGATTTATTGCCTTTTGTAACCGATACGAGTTACGTATCCTATATACTCAATAATTTTGTAATCATGCTTCGTAGACTAACCGGATCGCCTGAACCTTGTAGAGAACATATCGAATTATAATTTGTTCGCTGAGAGTATTTTCTTTAGATAAATGTAATGAAGATAGTATTATATATTGATATGGCGAGACCATTAACATACCTCATGGAGGGCTCCTGCGGTGAGACGGATTGTAGCGTGTATCGCGCGGGTTGATACAGAATGGGGTACTTAATTCCATTATATGTAATTGAATTTCGGGGTAATTTGTAGGGGGGGTGGAGGGGGGGCTCCCCCCGACCCCCCCGCCATAAAAGATTTTTGGCGGAAATGCAGTTTTTTTTTTTTTACCTAACCTAAAAATTCATTAAATCTGTTAAATGTAGTGGAATTTCAGGGGGATAGGTATTAGGGAAGACCCCTCAGAGGGAAGGGTAAATCCCCCTCCCCCCTCCCGGCGTTTTTTTACAGAAATGATAATTATAAAAAATTAGAGGGGTTTTAAAGGTAAAACTGTACTTCCAGGGCCTAGAGATGATATTTGATTTTTTTGTAGAAAAAGTCTCTATTAACGAATTTTTCTTTCTGGCGCTTCGCCGGCCGCTGCCGCGGCACGCTCGCTTCGCTCGCTCGGCTCGCGCGTTAAGGTCACAACACTAACCTAACCTAACCTAGTGTGAAGTATCACCACACAAGCGGCTCATTAGAGTCCAAAGCTCGCACTACACTCGACTCTTCAGGCGAAGGGCCAGCAGAACTCGAGGTCGAACGCTTTGAGGATGCCATGGTAGTCAGACGACGTTAATATCAACAGGAGTACGAAAAAGCTCTCAACTGCGACGAACACAAACACTGACTGACAGATCTCATTAATGGCGGTAAATTGTCACATTTTGACAATAGTACCAACATAATAAACTTATATTTACCATAGACAACGAGAAACATGTTATTTTTGCATAAAAAAATGGCAGCACTGATCAAAATTGCTGTCAAAATTGACTCATAACCTACAAAAATATTAATTTTCAATAAATTTTTTTTCGAGTTCTATTCGTTTCCGCCTAAAAAGATTTCGTGTACGTGTTTTTAATAGTTAACACTTTACGTGACAAAAATTTCAGCTTGCAACTCAATTACATATAATGGAAAGCTGAGCCCAGAATGGCTGTTACGTGCGTAACGCATGCGTATAAGTAAATAAGTTTTATGAGGATTTGTTGTTTTATTTCGAAACTATTATTGAAGTTAAACTTCTTTACGCACACTTGACTTGGGGGGTAAGCTGGCGAATGCGTTACGAAAAGTGTGTTCGGGCGAGGCGAACGGGAGTTGAGTAGGGGATATAAGCAAGAGAAAGTAGTGCGTGCGCATATTTTCTTTCTCTTATAGCTAGTAAATGAAATATGTATATGTACATATATGTATACAGTAAAATCCGTTTATTATGACTCCGTCTATATTGACCAACCGCCTATTATGACGTAATTATCCAACGAAATTTGGTTTTCATATATAAAATTCATTGTAGCAATGTCGGATATAATGACTTCGCTTACAGTGACATGTCGTTTATTATGACCAATTTTTAATAAATTTTGTCCGTTTATAGTGACCGACGTGGTTCTTTACACCTACGGTAATGTTCATTGTTCCCGACAACGTTCGGCACGTGGCTCGTTTTTGTTTTGAATCTCAGTGAGTAATTTACATTCAACATTACGTATTGTTTTTAGTAATATCCTATGTAAAACAAATTGCTTCTCAACGCCGTAAAGCATTTACGATTACGACTGAGGAAAAAGGTGCAATAATATGATGATTAGAAAATGGAGAATCAATTTCATCTCACAATCTTTTTTCACAAAAGTAAATGCTCAAGAGTTTAAGCTTGATATATGAAAAGGTCGAAAAATGGTCGCTTCTTTCTCTTGGACAAGCATTCTTCCCTGTGGTTAAATATATTACTTCTCACAAACAAATATTACTGATTTGTGATACAACGTATTATAGAAACTTTATTTTTTTTGTCTTTGAAAATTATATCTTATTCGGAATCATATAGGGTCGTATTTCAAACTCTAAAGAACCAGTGTGGAATCAACGCTAGAAGCACGGGAAAATGTACAAATAAAACAAAACATTTCAATAGACTATTAAATATGTATTATGAGTGTGGGAATAAAATTAAAGCTTAAGTTTACTTAATATATGGGAATGCTACAATATATATAAATTTCAGTCAATAAAGTTTAACACCAATAGAATTCCAATAAATAAAGTCTATTAACAAAATAATACTTGCTGCAAAGAAATCGGATTACCTACGATTTAAAGTGGGGTTTGAGATCCTTATTTATTACTTTTATTTAAAGCGGGATTAAAAATCAATCAGTTTCGCAATATATAACATCGGATAAGAAGTAAAAAAAATTAAATAGTTAATATACAGTTGACAACAATTACTATGACATTACCTTAGTCTAAAAATCACAAGGCATCCCGATTTCTTTGCTCTTTATAAAAATAATTTCAATCGATCAATCAAAGGCACTGCTCAAGGCCGACTCCAATAAAATTCGTTATCTAACATCCACAGTAAACATCGATACTAAATTACATTGCACAAGCATAACACGAATCACGAGAAGCGTTCAATTAGAGATTTCTTTAAAAATGTTTAAACTTTAACGTTGTATTCGAGAATACATCAAGATTATTTATTGTGCTACATTCTATTCCAAACCAAATGAACAAAAGAGTAAAAATAATCAACTATATTGAACAGTTTTAGTATAGGGTTTTGTAATTGAATCACATTGGTAAATTAACTACTAATTAATTTAGTTATCTAGTATCCACACAGATAGACTTTTACCAAACTGTAGCATGAAAATGACAGTTGTGAGTATAGATCAAAGTAGATTTTCCGACTGTACTTCTGGCATTGTAAAATATTATTTTAATTGATTGGTTTGAAGATAAACATTACTCATAAAAATGTGAATACGAAACTTAGATAACTAACTTCAGATTCAATATGAAACTTGAACGTAATACAAAACACACAACAGCACGCAAATCTTCTAATTCTTGGGATATGGTTGTTTTCAACCCTTGATGTTCCTTACGCTGGCCCGATCAGCGCCACGAGCGCGCGCTTGTAGTCGCCGGAAGTCTCGCCCTGCTGCCGGCCGCGAGAAACAAGATGGCGTTACAGCGTTTCCGGTCACAAGATGGCGGCGGACGATGCGAGCGCATGCGGGGCAAGAGACGCGGCAATATTAGTTTGTGAACAGTTGGAAACGTGTCGTGTGTTAAGAAAGAATAGACTAATTTGAAATGCAATATTATTTAAATTGCTAATTATGTATAAGTTATAAATTAACTGGTCGGGGTTTTAAATATTATAAAAATGTTTTGGTAATTCATGTCATAAATAAAAGAGACTTTATGTGCGAAAAATATAAACAATAAATAAGAAGATCAGTTAACAATTTAAATGAATAATGTAAAAATATAATATCTCACCTCCTATTTCCATCACCATAGGAAGCGACGTGAAAATGTTAACACATTATAATTGACACATTACAACATTTAAGTAATGGATAAACGGTAATTTTATATTTTATAAAGTGACACTGAAAGCGAAACCACAGAGAGAGGAAATAAACAAGCCAATTATTATAAGGAGGTATCGTTCATGCATTCATTTATTTGATAAAAAGCATTACTTTCATGCTAGTAATGTGCTTAAATTATAAACATTGTGCTGCGAACCAGGATAATAATTATTTAATCAACAGGCAATACTCGGGTTTGTAATTGATGTATAAATACTCAGTATAATATTATTCAATTGCACCATAATAATTTTCTATGATAAAGTACTGAAACCCGAGTAGTGAGTGTCGACATTAAAACAACCGCAAACAAGAAACAAACAGATTTGGATTGACTTCCCAGAATGCACCGTTATTGTGAACTTTTTTAAATAATATGTATTTCTTTAAAATTATAGATAACACAAACGAATTATGAAACGAATAGACTTTTGAAAAAATGAAAAAAATTAAGAAACTTTATAAAACATTTAATGAAGACATCCAAAAAGCAGAATTTGGTAATTTGTCTAGTCGGCAATGATGTCGATTCTGGCATGATTCTCTAAAGCTAAACTTAAATTTGACAACAGTGCATCCCTGTCATTCTCTATACAGAATGAAAAGGAGAGACTGACGTTAAATTTAGTTTTAAGTTTAGAGAATCATGCCAGAATCGACACCAATAAGTGCATAAATTAACGCGAACGAACAAACACGGCGCGGAGGAAACCCAAATCCATTTCCGAAAGTTTCCCAACAAGCGGTCGTAACACACTAACCTTAATATCGCTCTCGAGCGTCTTATCGTAGATGCGTTCGTACTCCGCCTTGATGTTGCCGAGGTCGATTTCAGCGCGGCTGGCGATGATGCGGACGAGAGTGCGGTCTTCAGTGCCCGCTCCCTCCATCGCCTTCCTCAATCGTTGCGCGAACCAGGCGGGCGCGTTCTCGACGCATTCCACTGCAAAACGTGCGCGTCCGTAACTTCAACGTGCACGTGCACGTATACGTACCCGCACTTCGCTCTCTAACGTCTTGTCGTAGAGGCGCTCGTACTCGCGCTTGATGGCCTGCAGGTCGATCTCGGCGCGGCTCACGATGATGCGGACGAGAGTGCGGTCGTCGGTACCCATTCCCTGCATCGCCTTCCGGAGCCGAGTTGCGAACCAAGCGGGCGCGCTCTCCACGCATTCCACTGAAATGTCCGCGGCGCGACAACGGCTCAGCGATAGCCTTATTGTAAGCGGCCAAATAGCCCTAATGCTTATAAGACTTCAGGAGAATCGCTTACGTTTTTCCCGAAAGAGTTCTAATGTTTTTTTTGGTTACAAATTACACATTTATCTTTTTATTTGGCGCCCTAATATGCTTATACGACTTTAGGAAAATATCTTTTTTTTCCCGAAAGAGTTCTAATGGTACCTAAGCGTTTTGTTTGCAAATTACACATTATTCTTTTAATGTTGTGTGGAGTTTTTATCGCTCGTTTTTCTTCCGCAGCTAAAAAATATGTCCAATATCGAGTGGACGGGAAAAAAATTTATTTTGGAGGATTCAAAAGAATAAAGATATTTTGACTTTTTTGAAAATGGTAGTAAATGTGGACCTCTTTATAGTAAGCGGCCATTAGGATTTAGGAGTTAACGCCCAACGAAAGTGGCAAATGAACAGTGATTTTTCTGATGGTAAGCAACCTTCTCAAACTATTACATACCTATGGAATTTTTAATTTAAGATGAAGCAGCACAGGCTACTTCCACAATCAAACAACAACTGATTCAACACTCGAAAAATTTTAAACCAGGTCAAGGCTATTATTGATCAGAGGGAGGGATAGTTTTTTAAATCTTGCTTTAGTCCTGCCTGACACACCTTGTTCACTTCCTTAAAATTAATCAATTGCCAAAGAGTAGGGGACAAGGCGGTGAGTTTTGGTACATGTTAAATTTCTTTGATAGATTTTCAACCTTAAATTGTTCCGCATAAGGTTGGTTCTGTAAGGTAAGTACAGAACCCATTATTGCACTGCACTCAAGGTCAGTGAGCAAGATATTTATTAATGGAACTTATAGAGGTAATTTATTTCTGAGACTTAATAGTTAGATATAAACTGTTTATTTTATTAAATGGCATGATTCATTTCATGATGAAAAAATTACAATGATAAAATATTTTTTTAGTTCTAGTTGTGTTGTAATTCGAGCAAATATAAATTTTAGAGTCAAGCTCCCAGACTATTAAAATTCAGTTTTAAATAAATTCAACAACTAGCAAAGCAACAAATGTAATCTTTAAAGAACACGACATCCGAATCATGTAATGAGCGATTTCCTCAGCTGATTCAAGACTCAAATATGCGCCAATTGGCTCGATGAGCATTGACTCAACAATGTCACCGTTTACTCAACACTAGAACACAACAGCTGCGCCAATACAAATATCGTCACATAAGAGTAAATAATTTATTACAGTTTCAATACCTACCTAAACCTACTAAAAAATAGTACAAGTACATTATAAAATAAGTTAATAACCATACCAGGGTTTTTTAAAAATATCTGTGAAAAATATCTTGGACATATCCTAAAATGTTCGATTCTTTAAGATAGAAAAACATAGAACGTTTCTTCGGCTAACAAACAAAACCACATAGATAGTAAAAGAAATTACAATAAAGAAAATAATTAAACAACTCTCGCGATGGTCGGTCATTGGATGGGTGACCAAAAACTTATTATCTCGAGCTCCTCCGTGCTTCGGAAGGCAGGTTAAGCCTTTGGTCCCGGCTGCGGCATCTGCAGCCGTTGGCACCCACCAATCCGCCCTGGGGCCGCGTGGTGGGTCACGGCCCAATCTCCCTATTCCCTCCATAGGAAAGTCCTGTGCCTCAGCAGTAGACATTAATAGGCTGATAATAATGATGATGATTGAATCGACTCTAACGGCTAAAGTTTTCAGTGCTAATGTTAAAAGTGAAATTAGTGAGCAGAGAAATATTTTTTAGGTTATGTGTGTGTGTTTTATAATACCTATGGCCGACAACGCATCCTTGAGCTCGCCGCCGATCTCAGCCTTGATGGCTTGCTCGATGGTGCGGCCCGAGATACCCTTGTACGCCTCGAAGATCAGCTGCAGCTGCGCGAAGCTCTCGTGAGCCAGAATCTACGTGACAACCAATACATTATAGTAATTTATGACCAAGGGCGGATCCAGAGGGGGGGGGGGTCATGGGGGTCATGACCCCCCTGGGCTGGGTCCATCTGTACCCACTGTGACTTGACCACGACTATATGACCCCCCCTGGCGCCGAAGCTGGATCCGCCCTTGTTTATGACTCGGTGATCATGGCGATTACAACAATGCCGACATATCGGGGACTTTGAAAATTGGAATTCTTTGCCCGCACAAATGACTCCACCCCACCTGATGTTAAGTGACGGTGAAGTCCAGACGCGAAGATAGCTGATACAGCAGTTCTACCTGCCACACCAGCCATCGTCACCCTGCCGGCCTGCATGTTGCTTCTTCACGCCTCTTTTCTTTGCTTGCTTACTTCTTCCCTCCGTCCTACAGTCTGGGGTCCTTTAAAAGAGGCGTAAAGAAGCATTTTTGCAGGCCGGCAAGGTGAGGATGGTTTGTGTGGCAGTTTATAACTGCTGTACCAGCTATATTCGCGTTTGGACTTTATCACCACTTAGCATCAGGTGGGGTAGTCATTTGCCTACCTCGCTATGTATAAAAAAACCAGGGAGCCTTACACTTATGATGTGTAACATTTGAAACGCTCTCCATATTAGTAAAAAAGAAATAGCCATCTGGATATTGTTCTAAAATCAAATCCTGTTACACACTTCCGTCCCATTTCACGAAATCACTCCCACAAATTGCAGGAAAGCGAGAGGAAAAACAAAATTATTTGAATTTGAATTTTGATAAATTTGGAAAGATGTTACACATCAACACGGTACATGGTAGCACAATCCTGTTATTAACTTAAATTGCTATAGTGTTAGTGATCATGAACTTTAATACCTAGTTATTTATACAACTGTTGTATAGTGAGGGGTATTAAAACACGAATGTAAAACACATTCGTGTTGATGGATTACATGAGTGTTTTAATTTTTCCCGTTTTCGCAACATTTTTATTGGTGTTTCGTTTCTATTAATCGTAACTTTGTTATAAAGCTTTCCTCGATATATGTATTATTCAACACAAAAATAATGATTGAAATCGGCCCATAGTTCCATTAATTTATTCACATAAAATGTGGTAGGTAATACAGCTGTTAACGACGTCGACGAGAACAGTAAAAAATGTTGATTGAAATGGCCATTTCTCATACGATCTTGTTTCAAGACCGGACGGTGCTGGAGTACCTAGTCTGTTGAACACTTTTCCTGTTTATAAAAAGTTGTATCTTACTTTGAAAAGCCTGATACTCTTTAAACATGATTACACTGGGCTTGTGTAATACTAAATAAATATTTCCAACACTCACACCAATTAGCCTAGCCCCAAAGTAAGCACTGTAAGGCTTGTGTTATGGGATACTAGGGTAACGGATAGAATTCATTATACTGAAACTTAAATAAGTATATTTATACAGAAATACATAATAAACACCCATGACTAAAGTACAAATGGTCGTGTTCATCACACAAACATCTGTCCCCCCCCCGGGATTCGAACCCGGCACCTCTCGAGTAGGCGACTTGAAACCCGGCGTTCAGACCAATTGACCACGGAGGTCGCCAAATGCTGCTGAGGTTATAAAGTACGTAACTGCCGCGCATATGCATAGACTCGGCTCAAAGCGTCATTTTCCACATTAACCTAGGCAGTTTCAAAGTAGAATTAATTAGTGAATTAATACGCGTATTCAAAATTAGGTCATTATTTTCAAGCATGGCGGAAGTAGTCTTTCTGGTTACTTCATATTTCAAATATAGACTGGTGTCGATTCTGACACGATTCTCTAAACTTAAAATTAAATTTAATCAGTCGCTCCTTTTCATTCTGTATAGAGAATGACAAGGATACACTGTTATCAAATTTAAGTTTAGGTTTAGAGAATCATATTTGTTTCTTAGGTTTTCACGCATAAATAAATAAAGTTTTGTGCATTAACCCACTAAAATAGTAGTATTTTTATTTAGAGAATCATGTCAGAATTGACACATGCGTTTCCTAACTATAAAAAAACTGTAAAATTTGTAACACACCCAAGCAAGAACTTTGGCAGATCTGTGGTTGGATCGCCAACGTCTAAATTTCTATGGAATCTAAGCAACGCTCCTACCGGACGTAAGAACAAACTAGCTTTTCCTATAAGAAAATATGAAATGACTCGAATTCTCGCCAGTTTTTCGATATTGGGGTACTTTTTTTCTCTTTAATAATAGTGAGTGAGTAATTTCATGCGATTTTATTGACATCTCCCTATCCCATCCATAGGGAAGGCCTGTGCCCCAGCTGTGGGGACATTTAATAGGCTGATGTTGATGACAATTTATTTAAAATACGCTATTGTGCGATTGTCGCGGGGCCGTTCAAGTATTACGTAAGAACTATAGGGGGGCAGAGGGGTCTTTGCTTTGCTTATTTTTGACTAGTGGCCCGCCCTCGCTTCGCTTCGGTATTTTATCCCCTTGGGGGTAGAATTGATCAAAATCCTTTCTTAGCGGATGCCTACGTCATAACATCTACCTGCATGCCAAATTTCAGTCCGATTCGTCCAGTGGTTTGAGCTGTGCGTTGATAGATCACTATGTCAGTCAGTAACCTTTGAGTTTTATATATACAGGGTGAAATTGAATGTTTTAATGAAACTTCGTGGGATTATTGGGTTACGTATATAGAGTATCTCTGAATTTTTTCGGATTTTTTAAAAATGATTTAAAATAAAATTTCGTTTTTTTTTTGTTATATTTTAATCTCCTTTTGGGTACTAAATAATTATTCTTTTTAAACACGCATACAGAGTAAGTAAAAAACAACTAATTAGCACTACTAAAAAAACGTAAAAACAGAAGACGAGCGGTCGGGAGCAATGACCGCTCCCGCCGTTGAATCGGTTGAATACCTACCTATGCGCGGTGCAAAGCGCAGTGAGCGAGCGCAGTGTCAAGTTTATCCACCGCGCGTGCGTATCTTTTAAATTTGTGACAAGAGAAGATTTGCAAATAATGGCATGATTAGTTCTTGTTCTGTGGCCTCAATATAAGAAATTGGATATGGTGTGTTGTTATTGTGTCACGGAATACTCAGCAGAGCCACAAGGCTTTACGAAAGTAGGTTTGGTGATTGATTGTGTTTACAAAGTGTATACGGGAAGTTTAAGTGAAAAAAATGAATAGGTACATCGGTATCGTAAGTACTTTTGAATACCGGGTTATAAATTTCACCCAAGTATTGAACTGCAATAAGTATTTCTTTTTGTTTAACATTTGCCTATTTCTAATTGTGACAAAATTATTATTAACTTTTAAAGTTTTTCTCTGCTTAAGAGAAGATGACATTTGTGCTTATTATTTCAATAAAGGTATCTAAGACGACTTTATTGTATTGTGTGGAATCAAAGGAGTCAACTGAACTCTGTGTACCTACTCACTCAACGGCTGGCGGGCGCGGTCGGTCGTTGACCCGCCGTGGAATTTTAAGGTTTTTCAATTTTTTAGAAGTACTTATTTATTAGTTATTTTTCACTGGATATGTAAGTTTGTTTGTTTAAAATGAATAACTACTCAAAAGGAGGAAAGGATATAAAAATACACAAATTATAAATAAAAACATGAAAAAAAATACTTCAAAAAATCCGAAAAAAAACAGGCATACTCTATACACATAACCCAACAATCTCACGAAGTTTCATAGAAACATTCAATTTCACCCTATATAGATGACAAGGGGGGGGGGGGTCGAAATAGTGATTACGTCAGCATAATGGATTCGGGTGTCATGAACTAAAGACTGTTAATTGGAATTAATATGTATACCAAAAATTCGAAAGAAGTTTGTTTTGTTCGTAATAGTAATAGCCTATTTAAGTACTGTTGCTCAAAATCAATAAAAAAATAAAAGGAAAAACATATAGGTACCAATGTTTACGTAAGCACGGGAGGGGGGGGGGGGGGGTTTAAGAGCTTTGCTTACTTTTGCTGACAAGAGGGAGGAGGGGGTATATAATAATCGTAACAAATCTGCTTACGTAATACTTGAACGGCCCCTTAGTATGAGTTTTCTCAAACTGCCGCTCACGTGTTCCCTCCCTCTTACAACCTGGGATCCTTTAAAAGAGGCGTGAAGAAGCAACATGCAGGCCTGCAGGGTGAGGATGGCTGGTGTGGCAGGTAGAACTGCTGTATCAGCTATCTTCGCGTCTGGACTTCACCTTCACTTAACATCAGGTGGGGTGGAGTCATTTGTCGGACCTATATATAAAAAAAAAACGTGGTGTCGGTCTCACCTTGTTGAAGATCTCCTCGTCAGTGCCCCACTTGGCCTCCCCCGCGTCGTAGAGCGCCTGCGCGGCCTCCTCGGCGCGCGCGTGGTCCGGAGCGCCCTCCTCGTCGCGCGCCCCCTGTCGAGCCCCCTGACCCGTCATACGTAGCCAAACACTTCGTCAGCCTTCGACTCAATGACTGTACCCTTAGCACGAACCGATCTCAGATTCGTTAGATTTGCGAATGCGAAATTTCAATGTCAAATTTTCAATGGAAACTTGAACAGCAGCGTCACAGCGGACGTAAAGAAAGAAATTTTATTAGCCTTAAACACAATAATCACACTAATATTATAAAGGCGAAAGTTTGTGAGTGTGTGAGTATGTGAGTGTGTATGTTTGTTACTTCTTCACGTCCAAACGGCTGGAGGGATTTTAATAAAATTGGTGTGGAGTTAGCTGACACCCTAGATTAACACATAGGCTACTTTCATCCCGAAAAAATGTTAGGTTCCAGAGGGATTTTCAAGAAACTAAGTTAACGCAGACGAAGTCGCGGGCGACCTCTAGTATTTACATAAATAAGACAAAGCGAGATAAACCAACTAAGTCCCTGCCTCAGCTTAATACTACTACAGCAACACAAGGGCTGCTGCAGCGCTGATAATTCTGGCAGGGCCTAAGGTTGATGACACAAGAACTAAAAATCAGTACACATTTGAAGTATATCTAAACCGAATTCAACTATTCGAATTCGATAATAGTTCGTGCTAAGGGTACCTACCTGTGTATCGCACACCTCTGTGCAATATTTACTACCCCAGCCACTATCACTACCACCCACAGAGCATCCGCATCCCCACTAAAGACCGTTATGAACACAACTTTGAAATGGAAATCGCCAAAGATGACCGGTTAAGAAATTCATGAGCTATCGGAGGTTATTTTTGACTCCTATTGGAAGGTACTGAATATTGCACAAGATGAAAACTATATGAGTCGAAGGCTACGTCGATACCGCGGCGAAGCGACAGAAAAGGTTAGCGAGTGATCAATCTACTCGTGTATTTTCAGCAAATAAAATATATAAGCTATGTAACTGTACCGGGTGTACTGTCTTCCTTCGCAATGATTAGGTACATTGATGATTCCTACTAACTTACCTACCACCTTAGGGCCGATTCACACCGGGACAGCAAAGGCTGTCTGTGGCGCCACTTTTAAAGAATTTCAAAGTATATCTACATTATACTTTTTTTTAATTTTTAAGCATGTAACTGCTTGATGTTTAAATCTAAAGAAAATTTAACTCGAAAAAATTCCACGCGGACCAGGCAGCAGACGGGACATATATATATATTTATATATCTATATTCTTCTAAAAGGCCCGTATCACTTGAAAAGCTTAAAGAAGTCAGCCGCTTACAATACGTGGTACTTTTTCAATGATTCAATTAGTATTTTAAATGAAATTAAAACTTAAATAATGTTTTTATAATTATTTTTCGCTAAAAGTGTACGTCACGTCACTGCCGCCCGCTGCCGTTCCGGTTTGAATCGACCCTTAAGTATTTTAATAAAGTGACGAAAAGCTAGATTCAAATCGCATAATAACGCAAGTCTAATCAGTAGACTTAGAAACGCCTCGTCACGGGTCTCCCTCGACTACCATCAGGCCTTAATTAACTAGCAATGACTTTGTGTTTTGTAACAATTCACAGAAAAAGCGAACTTGACTCAGCTGATAAAATCAACGTGTTACCTTATCCAAACATTTTAGTGTAAATAGTACTATCTAAAATATTTTTATAATAGGTATGATTGAATGTTATGTTTTAGGAGTATTTTTTTAATACCAAATTTTTACTCATGTTCATAATAGTATGACTTATTGATGTAATGTGCAAAGAAATTTAATTGCAAAAGCAGCGGAATTCATTTATTACTACATTATGTTATTTATATATTATGGATTATACTAATAAAATTATTTTTAAATAACAACCATTTACAAATTTTAATAATAAATAAATAACCTTTTTTTTATTACTTGTAATATTATAAAGAAAAGCAACTTTCACAGTTTTCAATCTATTTTATAAAAAAATACTGATATAGTTAAAAAAATGATTTTAGATTGATTGAAGGCGATTTCTTTGAATTGATGATTTTGAGGATTGTTATTTTAAAAATTATTTTATATCATATTTACTGGTTCCCTGATTGTTAAACTGTATATTAAATTAGACATTGAATTTGTTTAAGTTAACAGTTAACATAAAAAAATAATACTTATAAATGAACCACAATTAATTAAAATCCCGCATGCACCCCGCATTTTTACTGGACATTATCGAAATGTCCGACTTTTAACAGGACCCTTAAAATTAAAAAAAAAAAAAATTTTTAAGCATGCAACTGCTCGATGTTGAAATCTAAAGAAAATATTACTAGAAATAATTCCACGAGGACCAGGCAGCAGACGGGACTCGAACCCGCACCAGTCGTTATCCGGGCGAATGCACTGACCATTATGGTACCGCGGCCCTGATGGCAGTGTCGAATTCTTTCTAGCCTTTCTTAAGATGCAAGGCAGCGCCATTGCTTCGCATTGTAGGTTACTCACAATGTCGAATGAATACCTTTACAAGTATTATTAAACATTTCATAGAAGAAATAGCAGTTGAGTCTCATTTCATCAGACCCTCATCGCAATCATAGATGCACTGATTTATTTATTAATTGACGTTTCGCTTCCTTTTCAGGATGTAGATGGATCAAACGTCAATAAATAAAAAAAACAGTGCATCTATACAGTTGAAAATTGTTTTATCTAATGGAATTTTTACCACTCGGTGGCATCATTGACTTATTGTAGAAAATGAACTACATAAGTATATTATCTGGTGTCGAATAGGGGTGATGACAGGGTACAGTAAACGAAATTCATTTTAGTCCGTCAGTTAGATGATCAAAAAATAATGGACACGTATTATTTCTTTGGGCAATCAACCAAAAAATGGCAAAGTTATAGCGCGTCAAAGTTTGGTAGTAGGGGCTGGAGACGCCACTTTTTAAGTGAATTTTCACTTAAAAGTGTACCAAAACGTGACGTCATGCGACTTTTCAAATCAATATATCTCTGCAATGTTTATATTATGTAAAAAAAAGAAAAAATACGTGTCCTATACTTTTTGATAATCTACCTGATAAACGAAGAAAAAAAATTAGTCATCATCACTATTACTATCACAAGTGGTTTAGCTCCGCACATATGTAATGGAGGTCATACACGTTAGGTTTTGCATGATGGTTTTAACCGTGCATTCACAACCGACATGCATAACCGAGTTACACGCACCGAAAACTGTACAGTTTTATCACATACACGTAAGGGCTTGCCTGTCGGTTATGCATGTTCGGCTAAAACCATCATGCAAAACCTAATGTGTATGGCCTCCATAAGTAGGCTTAAACTGGGTGTAGCGTAATTTATGTGTAACTACTCAAGTTTTTATTATCAAATGCATCATTATAGTATCAAGGATTCGTGACTCACAGTGACGATGAGCGTGAGCAGGCGACGGAAATCACCGGAGGTCTCCGAGCACATGTGCTCCGCTAGCGGCCGGTCGTACACTGGACACGAAAAAAATACAACTTTTAAGAATTAACTTAGGTCTTTTACGGTAAAATGTTTTACCGCACGCTCCGTAGTATTTTGAAATTTCGAACAATGTACGCAACCTTTGTGAATGAATATTTTGAGCAAATGTGTGAATATGTTATTAAATTATTTGTTTGAAAACATAACAAACAAAATGGTGGTAGCAGTTAAAAAAAAATGTGTGTCAAAAACATATTGTTGAAATCAGGCAGCAGACGGGACTCGAACCCGCACCCTTCGCAATCCGGGCGAATGCACTGACCAATTATGCTACCGCGGCCCTCACGGACCGCGTCGAAATTCTTCTAGCCATTCTTAAGCTGCAAGGCAGCGCCATCTCGTCGCATTATAGGTAACCCACAATGTCAAATGAATACTTTTACAAGTATTAACATTTGAAAGAAGAAATAGCAATTATAGTTATAAATTTTATTATTTTTAAAGCATGTAACTGCTTGATGTTTAAATCTAAAGAAAATATAACTAGAAAAAATTCCACGCGGACCAGGCAGCAGACGGGACTCGAACCCGCACCCTTCGCAATCCGGGCGAATGCACTGACCATTTGACTTTGACATTGTGGGTTACCTATAATGCGACGAGATGGCGCTGCCTTGCAGCTTAAGAATGGCTAGAAGAATTTCGACGCGGTCCGTGAGGGCCGCGGTAGCATAATTGGTCAGTGCATTCGCCCGGATTGCGAAGGGTGCGGGTTCGAGTCCCGTCTGCTGCCTGGTCCGCGTGGAATTTTTTCTAGTTATATTTTCTTTAGATTTAAACATCAAGCAGTTACATGCTTTAAAAATAATAAAATTTATATTGTTGAAATGTTAATTGGTAAAGTACAATTTAATATAGAGTTTAATAGTAAACCATTGTAAAAACGAGATATTTATCATATCACAGTGTTCATGCTGCAGAGCTTGCTTGGTTTTAGAATAATAATTAGACAAGTGTGTAACTCTTCTGTATTTCGCCAATTATAACAAATAAATAAATATTTCCAACACACCAATTAGCCTAGCCCCAAAGTAAGCACTGTAAGGCTTGTGTTATGGGATACTAGGGTAATGGATAGAATACTTATACCTTACTTAAATAAGTATATTTATATAGAATACATATCAAACATCCATGACTGGAGTACAAATGCTCGTATTCATCACACAAACATCTGCCCCCACCGGGATTCAAACCCGGGACCTCTCGAGTCGACGACAACATGAAATCCGGCGTACTAACCACCCGGCCACGGAGTTCGTCTGTATATTTCAATTATAATTGTATATAGTACATATTTGTTTCTTAGGTTTTCACGCACATCAGTCATTAAATAAAAATATTAATTAATATTTATAATTAATACTAATAATTATATAGTACAGTATACTCACGGCGCTCGTACGCCTCAACGATGTCAGCGATCTCCCTCTTAGTGCGCGTGCACAGGATCTCCACCAAGGTTTCCTCGTCGGTGCCCATCCCCGACATGCAGTGGTGCAATTCCTGCACATACAACCAACCAACTGACTCGCAGGCACATTGACTGATGGTCAACAACACAGGCTATAAGCAACCATTAGGAATCTTTCCCTTAAGTATGCAATATCAAGGTTGCTCAGTACAATGATGTGTATATATTCAATGAAGTTAAATTAATATGTTTCATACACATAGTACATTTAAAATTATAACAGAAACAGTGCATTGAATACCTTGCAGAGATACTCCTCAGGAGGCATCATGAGCGCGACTATCACATCCTCAAAATGGCCGCCCAGCTCCGACTTGAGGTCGTCAATCAGATCCTACATGTGTGTAATTAGATTAGGACAATATTCATTATTGTTTCATACTATTTAGTTTAAATCTCATTCAGCCAGCACCTTGATTTTATTTGTTCCTTCTACTACAAAGATGTCGATTCTGGCATGATTCTCTAAAGCTAAACTTAAAATTGACAACAGTGCATCCCTGTCATTCTCTACACAGAATGAAAAGGAGAGACTGATGTTAAATTTAGTTTTAAGTTTAGAGAATCACGCCAGAATCGATACCATTGTTTTGCTAAACTAAACTATGTTTTAAACAGTACAATTAAGCAGTCTATAAATAACTTTCAACTTTTAGAAGTTATTTCTTTAGTTTATACACATACGCATTTTGGTATATTAATTATGAGTAATATTTCATCATAACTATTTGTTTCTAAGGTTTACACGCACACCACTCATTAAATAAAACAAGCTTCAATGGTATAGATGCACTGATTTATTCATTTATTGATGTTTCGCATCCTTTTCAGGAATTTCAAAACTTTTTTTCATTTCATTCATTATTCAGACAATGTGAAAATAAGCAATTGATAAATAAAACTGCGATTGATTAACATTTTCAATGTTAAATAAGAAATCTTATTTCAATTTCATAGGAAACTCTACACAATTATTGATAATAGGAGATAACTGGTTCCTAAACATAATGATATTGAATTTAATACACTGAATATGGTAAATAAAAACAAGAGTGACTCAATTTCGGTGTGACCTTGATAGTAAATTACTGTGTAGTAACCAGTCATGGTATAACCTTGGTATGTATTCAATGTAGAAAGGTTTTGCCCCATGACTCATCAAAATTCCTCTTTAAATTAGCTGTTCCTAACAAAGGTACTTGAAGTTTTATATTGACTAAACACACTGAAATACTCATTATGTCTTTTTTATCTTTTAACAAATATGTAAAGAATTTACAATGAGATGGAATTGAATGTTAAAGTTTTAAGAAAATATAATGTGTAAAATAATTGTAGTTAAATCAACATTGTTTTTTTTTTGAGTGTGTATGCTGTTGGTCTCAGATGAACTTTACAGCGTCACCAGGTTTGGGGACGAGATCCTAAAGGAACCTCAAGCTGAGAATTGGCGAGTGCATTTAGAGGTATTCCAGGCGGATGGCGTCTCCCCATGGGGGGAGTCTCCTCTCTGTCTGGAACCTATAGACCACTCGAACCTGAGGTCAACATTGGCGTTGATTCTGGAATGATTCTCATTAGACTTTTAATTAAATAAGACAACAGTGTATTCTTGTCATTCTCTTAACAGAATGAAAACGAGAGACTGATGTTAAATTAGGTTTAAAGTTTATAAAATCATGCCAGAAACGACACCATTGAATGACTTTTTTAAATAAAATATTAATTTTAAATTGATGCTAATTGTAATATCAATTGCAAATCTACTCACTCTGCCATACTCATGTGTGAAAGCCTGAGAAATGGCCTGTCTCTGAGCATTGGAGCGAGTGGTAAGGATGTCAATGATGGCCTGCTCGTCCGTGCCGAAGCCTTTCATGGCCGCTCGCAGGGCGGCTGCATCTTCTGCAGCATTGAAGTTCACCATTCCCACAACAGTTGGCTCACGCTTTATAAAACATCATTTACCATGAATATATCATAAGCTACCCATACATTATATACTCTTACATAAAGACATTAAAAGAGAAGTTAACTCTTACAAAATTTTGGGTATGCATTGCATTTATGAATATTACTGTGGAATAAAATTCTGCTTCTAATTACTTCAATTACTTATACATTGCAAGAAGCTAATCAGTTAGAGATTAACTGCCTATGTTTAATATTTAAAATAATTATTTATAATTAGTAATATCTGATATACAGGAATGCTCTAAAGTATAATTAAATATTCATTTAAAATAGTTTAGATACAATGCATCACAACAATCGTTAGATCATCATAATGAATAATATTTCAATAGCATTCCGAACATAGCATAATTACTGAGATTTAGGGCTAACTTCGACCTTACGTTGGCTGCACCCTCAGTCGCTCCCTACAATGTGACGTCATTTAGAACCACCCAGTTACGAATTTATTAGGAAAAGAAGAATCAGGGACTCTAACTACGTTAAATGGGAGATATTTAAATACTTACATGGTGTGACATTTTGCTTGTTGACGTAGATGAATGAAAGTTGAAACAAGAACCACACTCACTGCACAGTTTTTACTTTCTATTTCTAAGAGATTTTTCGGATATTGTAATTGTTCGACTACCTGTAACAATTGACTAAATTCAATTATCTTACTTATTGAGCACTAATGATGTCGTAGGAGCGTATGAGACGTAACCATAAGGTATTAAGATTTAAACAAGTGTTACGAATTTTAACTAAAAATTTAAACAACACGTACCACACGACCCGGCAGACAAAAACAAACTAAAATATTTTATTTTTTTAGTTCTATTCTTCTCTATTGAGAAAGGCAAAGGCATAGCCATGCAGCCATCGTCTTATTTTTGTATTAATCTTCCTTTTTTTACATTAGAATGTGGGTGTGACGCATTCTAATGCTTCTCGGAGTGTTTGACACGAAATATATCGAGTTGGCTTTTTCGATAAGCTTCTGTGAGGTAGTCAATACTACAATAAAATTCTCACGTCCACTTGACCGGAATAGCGTATATTTTAAAGATTCCACTAATTCTTCAGTTGCCCAGACGGTTGTAACACAAAATCACACCAATTTTATTTCACAATATCCACTATGAACAAATTTAAGAATAATTAAATTAAGACGCCAACCGCACTCGATGAAATCCCGCCAAAAACCTCCCAAACTAAAATATTCCTAAAAAAAACCCGAGGTATTTTTTTTAATCTTCCACTTTATAAAGACAAAGGTATCAAAGATCTTACAGTCTAACTTGAGTGCTGTTTCTGCTTAAAGGTGTACCCATTTTATGTATATACTATGCTATATTTAATAATAAATAAAAGCAGTTCATTGTAAAATAATCATAATTTGAAATCGGTAACTATAGTAAAGATATCAGAAGAAGGGATATCTTTTATCGAATTTGAACAATACAATACCATGCCGGTCTAATATTTGCTGAATGACCACCACGTTTGTTCCTTTGAGGAGCTCAATATCACAGTAGTTAGTGCGTTTGGTCTGCAAATTTGAAAGTTAATCAACTTTCGCAATAATCAATAGGGTATTTGATAAGTTTTAGAAAACGATCTCACGTTATTGACTAATGTTTATGGAGTCCGTAAAAAGTGGATATTCATCATTCTCTTGTGTATTTCAGTAAAAATAACCAAATCAAAGACTCCATTTTCAAGTTGCCGCGAAAACGTTTTTCTGGACAATATGGCGTCTTACTAGTGTGTGACGTCACAAGACTGATATTAAAACGTCAAACGATTCAATGTAATGTCACTTTAACCGGAAGCTTACTTGCGTGAGACGTCATTTTAGGCTCCGCCAATCCCAAGCGTTTTGGGTCACGCGACAATAGATAACAAAACTATTATCTTTTTCGTGGGTTTTTAGTAAAATTAAGAATATTTTTTTGTAAAAATAGTAAAAACCCCTGCCAATATTCATTCTAAACACAGATGATAACAATTGGCACTTTATTTTCAATACTGTCAAATACCCAATTATTGGATGGGATACCAAAATTATTATTATTTCAGGTTCTCCGTGCTTGGGAAGGTACATTAATTAAGCCAATCCCAATCCCGACTGCATTTTACTATCGTTAGCGCCCATCCGCGCTCGGACCATGTGGTGCGTTATCATGGCCCATTCTACTATTCCATCCGTAGGGACAGCCTATGCCCCATATCGGAGTTAGGTATCTCCATCTCTTTTATGTTTATAGCACTGTCTCGCACTCTGGATCCTTTAGAATGCTCAAACGATACCACGGTTAAAAGACGTGACACCCAGTGGGGAACAGCGGTGGGACCGCGGTTAAAAGGGACTTATGACAGGACAGGTCTTCTTCTTGTTGCTACGGGCGTTTCAGCAACTCGACGTCCTTATGGCACCTGTTTTGCGTGAGGAGGGTGTATGGCCGGAACTCACTCACTCAACACTCCGTTGCATTCCAGCAGAACGTGAGTAGCTGTTTCTTCTGCCTCCATGCATCCTCTGCATAGGGGGCTGTCCATGACACCTATGTTGAAAAGATGTCTGTTAAAATGTGCATGTCCAGTAATAGTACCTGTTACCATGCGCAATGTAGGTTTGCTTAGCTGTAGGAGAGTTTTGGAGAAGGCAGCGTTCACCCGTGGCAAAGCGAGCTTGGTCTGCCTGCACGTCTCCAGTTCGAGCCAGTGTTGCTGGTGTAGTGCGGCAGTGTGCTCGCGAATTTTATTGACGAGACAGCATACCGGTATCGGGACGATTGGTTCGGGACCTGTTGGGGTCGTATCGGATCCCTTCCGGGCCAGCTCATCCACAGCGTCGTTTCCGCGTGAACCACTGTGTCCCTTGATCCATTGGATGGTAATAGAGTTGCTCGTCCCTACCGTGTTTAAGGTTTGGTGGCATTCTTGTAGTAAGCTCCATCTGACTAAACATGCATCTAGAGCTTGTAGGACTGATTTGCTGTCAGACAGTATTCGTATTTCCTGTCCTGATACCTTCCTTGAGAGGATCGCTCTTGTCGCCAGTGTGATGCCCATACACTCAGCTTGGAAAACTGTGTTGTACGGGCTTAAGGGGAAAGCGATGTGTATATTAAGGTCTTCAGAGAAAACACCCGCGCCCGTGCCCGATGAGGTTTTAGAGCCGTCGGTGTATATCATGAGAGCCTTAAGTGTTACCTTTGGATCGTTGTCATCCAGTAGATGTATTCTGTACTTTTTGTCAAATATGAAGGCGTGTATTATTTTGTCACATGCCGCATCTATGAGCGGAGTGTTTACCCATTCCTTCAGTATACCGTTGAGATGCCTTGCTCTTTCGAACCTTACCAGTCCAAACTTTTGTAGTCTCAACGCTGTTTTAGCCGTTTCCTGTCTTATGTAGATATGGAGCGGCGTGATGTTTAAAATAACTTCCAGTGCTGCGGTTGTCGCCGTACTCATGCACCCGGTCACCGCGCTGCATATCTGCCGCTGAAAGCTTTGTAGTTTGTTGACACAGGTAGTCTGGATAGATCTCGGCCATCATATGATGGCGCCATAACTTACCATTGGTCGTATGACTGTGTAATATAACCATAGGAACAGTTTTGGTGCAAGGCCCCAACGCTTCCCTAACATTTAACGGCATTGCCAAAGTGTTACGCTGGCTGTCTTGATTTTGTGTTCCACATGGTTACCCCAGTTTAGTTTGCTATCAAGTATAAGGCCTAGATACTTTACCTCCTTCGACAGTTGTAGTGTGGTACCAAACAGCTTCGGCAAGTTGAAAGCACCTACGTCACGTTTGGTTGTAAACATTACCAGCTCTGTTGTAGTTGGATTAACTGTGAGGTCGTATTTCCTGCACCAGCATTCAACCAGTTTCAAAGCACTTTGCATGGTGTTACAGGTGATGGCGTGGGTGCCTAGGGTAAGTATAGTAATGTCATCTGCATACCCTATGGTGTAGTGGTTGTTCGAGTTTAGTTTGGTCAGCAGGTCGTCTACTACGAGGTTCCACAGAAGTGGCGAAAGAACCCCTCCTTTCGGACATCCTTGTGCCACCAGTGCATCTCTGCTGTCCTCACCTTTTACCCGAACTATTCTATTGCGAAGCATGTTAACTGTCCAGTCAATGATTTGTTGCTCCACTCCGTGTCTTCTGAGAGCAGACTCAATACTGGTGAAGTTGGTCTTATCGAAAGCACCATCTATATCGATGAATTTCCGAAGCAGATAAGTTTATTTTGAAAGGCTTCTTCTATCTTACCGGCTAACTGATGGAGAGCCGATTCAGTAGATTTACCTGAACTGTAGGCATGTTGGTGTTTATTTAGTGGGGCATTGATTAATGCTCCATTGCGTAGGTAGCTGTCGCATAGCCTTTCTATTGTCTTAAGTAAGAAGGTTGTTAGGCTAATGGGCCTGAAGGATTTAGGGTTAGTATAGTCGGTTTTACCCTGTTTGGGTATGAATACTACCCTTGACCTCCCTCCACAAATGTGGAGTGTACCGATGAGCCAGACATGATGTTAATATACGAGTAGCCGCATCGACTACGTCCTGTCCGCCCTATTGTAGTAGTGCTGGAAAGATGCCATCAGAGCCAGCAGACTTGAAAGGAGCAAAGCAGTTGATAGCCCACTTTACTCCCTCAGGCGTAATTACCGACTCTGCTAGTCTCCAGCGTCCTTCTGTTGTACTTGGAGGTGCATCTTGCCAAGTCACCTGCTCTGTAAGCTGGCAGTCCGGAAAGTGGGTTTCTAGGAGGATAGCGTCGCAGTCAGTCCGATTATGGGACAATGTGCCGTCAGGTCGACGCAGACTTCCCAGCACGCCAGGGCAGGACAGGTCTTAATATCTAATTTAGCGTTTCGTTGGTTCCGAGTTCCGACCGCTGGTTGCCGGTAAGCGGTACTAGTTCAATCAGTTTGAATCCAAACGTGAGTCAGCGGGAGGGGCGTGGACGAATAGACGTAAGCTAGGATACGGAGAGACGTAATCGCGGGCACTGCAAGTTGACCACGCACCGCGGCTCGGAAGCTTGTCCCGAGTCGAGACGATTACGTTACGATTCCGATTAATGGGCGTTGCAGTATTAAGTTTTATACAAAGAATACTGATTGGCTCCAGTTGATACGGTGACGATCCCTTTCCAAGTTTATATGTGTGCTATAACCTTTAATTTTATTTAAAATGAATAATCCATGTAAGCGAAGATATGTATTAGTACTCTGGACTCTGGACGCTTAGATACCAATGAACAGTTACGACGCGTACATATTTAATTTAAGATCATTGTAATGGTGAATATGTATTTGGAGACTTTTGATCTGAATAAATATAAGCCTGGTTAGGGTTACCAGATGATAAAATCAAAAGTCCGGAAAAAAGGCTTGATTTCCATTGAAAAATCCTGAGATTTTTTACAGTTTGAGAATTTTCTCTCAAACGTACTTAACAATTTCAAAAAAGTCGTAATATTATCGTTTATACTCTGCTTATACTTTTAAATCAATATAATTTGAAGAGCTTAACATGTGGGGCATTATATGAATCCATAATTAAAGAAAAAACCTTACTTAAAAATGTATCTTCACATATTAAGTATGATAAAACTGATTAAGTT